AGTGAGATGAGACTCATATTTTTAATAGTCAATATCTCATTCTCGTGCCTTTTCATTTCAGGAGTTGAGCATCAGGTAGTGTCAGTAGAGTCAGGTAAATCACAGGAAATCTAAGCTCACTGGAAAACCTTGGGAAGTTCCTCTCTTCCTCCCCCACGGACCATGGGCCATCATGTGGATGCCAAAAAGTGACACGAGCTTAAGAAGAGAACAAAGATACAGACTGGGCTCCTTTGATCACAGACTCCACAGAGGTGAGCTGCAGTTTTCTGTTAAGTCAAGAATAGCCAGGGGCCTGATTTTCTTTGTGTAAACAAGTCCTGTTTCTTCACACAGTGATAGAGTTTATCCTCGAAGGAAGCCTTCTCACCTCTTCTATTTGGCCACACAAGCACCCATTGCGGACACTAAGATGTTTCCAATGAGGTTGGCAATGTTGCGGGTTAGAGGACTTGAGTTTCAGTTCCATCTGTGCTGCCAGACAAGTAACTGTGGGCAAGCAATGAGGCTCAGTGGGTAGAGCACCGGGCCTGGCGTCAGGAAGATCTGGGTTCAAATTTGGCCTCAGATACTTACAAGCTGGGCGACTCTGGGCAAGTCAACGAACCTGTTTGCCTCAGTTTCCTCAACTGTAAGACGGGGATAATGCGTGCTTCCCTCCTAGCAATGAGGATCCAATGAAATATTTGTGAAGTGCTTAGCACAGTGCCCGACACACTATAGGTGACACACACAGATATACACACATCTGTGTGTGTATCTTTTCCTTCCCTTCCCCCAAAGTCACTGAACCCTTCAGATAAAAGGAGATACTTACACTCCCTCACAGTGTTGTTTTAAGAAAAGTGAAGTCAACCTTAAAACCTAATTTGAATGTTATTGTGACTGCTGCAATCCGATTCTTTCAGTGTGGGAAATTCCTGGTATGGAAACTCCCTCCCCAGATAGAGATCAGAACCTCTTCTCTTACTGAGTCACCTAGGGCCCAGAGCAGCCACTTGAGCCTGGGTCCTCCTGACCTATTACACTACACTGCCTCTCAGGCCTTCTATGTAACAAAGGATGCCGAGTCAGCCGTGGGAGAATTCTCCAGTTTGCCATAATGGATTAATAACTGGGAGCTCTGGAAAACCTGAGTGGCAAAGTCCTTTTTAATTCTGTCACCCTTTATGACTCCCTCCCAACCTCCCCAAAACTCTACGTCATGTTAGCTATTCATGTGCTTTTTACCAAAATGGGATGACTACAAGTAAGGAAGATGTGTAGCAAAGCTAGCATTTAACTAGTGCAGTCACCAAAGAGCTTTACGTCAATTCTTTTATGTGATTATCAGTTTCCCTGAGATGTTGTTATCCCCCATTTTACAGACAAGTAAACTGAGCCTGAGAGGTCTAATGTAATTCCCCCAAGGTGACAGTGACAGTAGGGGCAGGATCGGGCTTTTTCAAGCCCGGGTCTTTCAGCTCCAAATTCAACCTTTGTATGCTCTAGCTGTCTCTTCAGAAAAGTTTCAGGTTATATATAGCACGAAGTAAAAGATGAAAAAAATAACTAATGTTACACAACGGCCCATGATTTTTCAGTTGTGAATTAAGTATATTACTCTTCTGCAATCTATGTAGAATTAAAGCCTTGTTTCAAGAGGCAGATCACATCTCAAGAAGTAAGTACGAGGGATATCCTTCCTGCCCTGAAGCAGCTGACCATCTTTAACATTTTGCACACTACTCTTCAGTCAGACTCCGTACTGACCACAGATTATTAAAATAAACCAGGATGGAAGATCAACAAGGGAAAGTAGAAAGCAGAGTGGCACCCTAAAAGAGGACAAGCCTCTTGTAGATTAGGAAGTCTACAAAGCAAGAAAGTTGAGCAATTATAATGAATACAAAGGGAAAATTCTCATGAGATGGAAATCCAGTGTGGGTAAGGAGCCTTGGTTTCATGGAAAAGCATTCTGGATTCAGCATCAGCCTAGAACTAGCCATGTGACCCTGGGCCTCAGTTTTTTCACCTATGAAATGAGGGGTAGAACACAACAATGGGGCTTAAGGTCCCTTCCAGCTCCACATCAAGCCATCTCCTACAATATTCCTGATCTGTCAGTGCTGGGGACTTTTGTTCCTGAACGTTTATACTCCCAAGAATAATGGTAGGATTTGTCAGTTAAGATGAAGACAAGAGTGTGGCCCAAAGCCATTGGAAAACTTTCTTGTTCCCTTTGTAAACAGCTCACATATCTACATATGGCACAGCACAATTCGACATAAAATATGCTGAAATGGCAAACTATTTTTGATAGTTATTTCATATAACAGGAATACTGAACAAGTCAGGTGGCCTCTTTAGATTCAAAAAGCAAGGAAGGCTTCCTCTTTCCCATTTCAGGACTATAGCTATCCAGTGAGGCCAAGCAGCATTTTCCATCAAAATTTTGGTCATCCACATATTTTTGTTTGGGAAGCCGAAATGTACCCACGGACTTTATGAAAGTACCGAGGACACTGCTACTAAGCCCTTATTACTCAGAAGTTAAAGTCTAATTTCCTTTTCAAATGCTGTGTGGTTTGAGCTCAACATTCTGGAAGCAAATTACTGTAGTTTTAGGGAACACCTAATACTCTCCTCCCACATAATCTGAAAATACAAACTGTTAACTTTCAAATGCACAGAAAGGGTTCAATAACGCTTATATAACTGACCCCGCTGGCAGCTTCATCTCAGGATATTGTTCTCTGTCTGCTCATTTTGTGACAATTGTGCCTATTGCTTCTCAGCTTGGAAGAAACTGCACGTGTATGTGTATATGCATGTTTACATACACGCATGTATATGCAGCCACCCAAATATACAATGCAGTGCTTATATGTACGTATATGTCTATGTGTACATATTTATTTTTATATAGGATGGCAGCTGAGGTGGCTCAGCAGATAGAGCGCTGGGCCTGGAGTCAGGAAGACCTGAACTCAAATCCCGCCTCAGACACTCACTAGCTGTGTGACCCTGGGCAAATCACTTAACCTCTGTTTGCCTTAATCTACTGGAGAAGGAAAGGCAAATAAGGAGAAAAACTTACACAGGGTTACAAAGACTTTTTAAAATATATGTGTATGTGCATATATGTGTATGTATGTATGTATATATAGCATATATGCACAGGTGTACATATGTGTGTCTACATATATACAAATATACACACACTCTGAAATATAAAACATAGAAAGTGTCTTCTAATAGAACAACACCCAGGCATACTATCCATGGGTAACATCATTGTGATTCTCAACATCAGTAAACTCAGAGAGATTACATTTAAGTTTGCATCTAAGGACTGGAGGCTACATAGTCCTATGATGAGAAAAAAAAAATCTTTAGTGTAACTGGAATACAAAGAAAAAACCCTCTTGGTTTTTTGGATATAAAAAGCACAACTTTCTCTCAACTTTTCAAGGCTCTAAATTCTTCATCAAGGGAACTCTGATTTCATTTGTGTGGGTACAGAATGCAACCCCTGAAACACCTTGATGAGTTGGTATGGACAGACAAAAGCCTTATCTGGTATTGTAAGACAAGAGTTATTAGCTTTGTGACCTCTCTGGGTCTCAGGCCATCTCTAATTAGATCCATGATGGCCAATCCCCCAGTATGGGCCTTACCTATAGAGGCTGGTCCTCAGGACAGACCCTCCTCTATCATTGGGTCTGTGTTTAAAGCTTGGCAGGGTCTGCCACAGATTGCCCTCTACTGGCATACACTTACGAATCATATCAGGATTAGGCAAACAGACCAGTTCACCAAGAAGATTAAAAAAAGTAAATGTCAACTCTGAAAGCATTACGCAGAAGATTAAGAAATGGCATTACTTACAGAAGAAAATGCCAAAATATTTCAAGTGTGTTTACGACAAACCTGTTAAACCAAATATAAATCAACTAGATTTTAAAAGTTTTTAAAAGGAAAACCTCCTACTAATTGGAGAGTTATAGATTGTTATTCTTTATTGTGCTCTATTTCTTCGTAGGTACAAATATTCACATTAGTCTTAAGGAATACATTATGTTCACTCCAAAATACTATAAACTCCTGGGTCTGAGAATTTATTTTCAATGCAACATAAATGATGGAAAAAACAAAAAGGCATGAGTGAATTCTCTACTCATTAAGTACTTTTGACATGTCAGATATACTGAGTTATGTTGCTAGATACTTTCAATTGTAGTCATATCCGTAAAACAATTCTATAAATTCAATTCCGCAAATGTTAAGCACCTACCACGTTCAAGGCGCTATGCTAACTGGTGGGCAAACAGAAGGGCAAAACAAAAGCCTATTTTGAAACTCTTATTTTACATAACCTCCAAACTACAAAATAATTTCTCAACCCAGTATTGTAGTGAAATAGAAAACAATGAGAATAAAACACAGGGCATGAAACCAAAAGTAGTGGAACTGCAAGGCATTTTAATGAGATGATGTAGCCGGAGTGTACAGTGCTTACGCATGTTTTTATGATCAGTTACATTTCTTTCTTTTTTAGTTTTTATTCAAAATACCAAAAAAAATGCTGATAGGTCATTTTGGCAGTTATTTTCCAAGCCCTGTAATGAAGTAACTGTTTTCAAATGCCAAAATTCTTAAAGAAAACATTACTGAGCCCAAAAAGGAACCAATAAGAAACCTGAACATTCCCAATCACAAGTTTACTGTTGCAATAGTCAGCATTCTTGGGGGATGGGGGTGGGGGGGTGGAGAGACAGAGACTAAGCTCACAAAACAAGTACTTGAAGTTGTATGCTAAGATTCTCACCATGAAAAATGTTCTAGCTATCTGGTTGCAACAGATAAAAAACAGTGCACTGCTTGCTTCACAAAGGACAAAGATCTTTTTAGGGTTCGACTGCTGAAGGCACACAGCTGAAATTAATTAGATATGGCTTACTGTGCTTGCATTAAAAAGGCTCAAGTTCTACATGGATAAAATTACATGAACAGTATAAATTCGATATGAAAAAATGTACTTTTATTAAAGTAATTATGCCCAACAAACAACAAAAGGGAAGTTTCACAATTTGGTTTCAATCATATAATCCTGAAGTATAAAAAACTATAAAGTGACAGTCTGGTATGGAGAACATCTTTAATAAACTTGGAACCTTTTCCTTGTATTAAGAGAATCTATTATGGAAGAAGCTCAGTGGAAAGAAACATTATGGGAGGTGGGGAATAAGGGAGCACAGGGAAGTAAGGAGAATATTTCAGCTCAGCTGGTTCCAACTACATTATTCTTAGTTCTAAAAAACTCCCCATTTTCCCTGGTGTTTCAAAGCCGCCATCAGAGGCTCATACACAAGACACTGCAGAATTAAACTATATCAATACTCCAAGCACAAACAGGCATATGAAAATATGCTTAGGCCAAATTGTACCTATTCACCTAAAAAACCATATAACCAGTTATACATACGATGCATTGATACTTAAATTCCATAAGGTTCACAGCTGTATTGAGTCAAACACTGAGGCAATCAATTTTTAAATTGGGACGTGGCTCATTTGGAAGAAGATTCTTAGGTTATCTTAAGAACACTCCCACTGGGACTTTACATTGATGTATTAAATCAATCTTGGAAGACGGTGGGAAAAAAAACTTAATGCGAAGATTATTATAACCAACTAATCCTCAAATAAGCTCTTCTAAATCTCACATGTGAAGTATGAATATCAGACAAGTCCTTTACCATGAAAGCGAATTTTTACAAATAGCGTATTCCTTTAAACTCAAAAAAATGTATCTATACTTTCTAAAAGCACAGGCTATTCAGAAATGTTTGCATTAAATTCACTGTAGTTGACTTACTCATTTAAAATTTTGTTTTGTATCTAAAGGTGTTTCAATGCATAAAACTGATCAGCCTGAATTCTTCAAACAGTGCTAATACATATTTCTTAACTGAAATATCTTAGAATGGTAGTACTGTACAGTCTTAAAAGCAACCAATTTTAGCAGAGGAAGTCATGATTCTGATGACCAGTTTGAAGCATTTTGGCAATATAAATAATCTGTGTATTTTTTTCACAGTGGCAAAAATATCCTTTTGGCTCTATTTCTCTGAACCTTGAATTTTATAAAGATAAAAGTCAATACTCTTAAAGGAAATTAGGTCTAATTACTAGTAGGATTTAAAAAAATATTCTCAATAGTAAAGAATTTAAAACTTAAAAGAAAAAAGAGCTGTTACATAAAAGCATGTAAGCAAATATTTCTCCCACTAGGTTCTTTAATTGGAGCAAGTCTCAATTTAATCCCATAGGCATGGTCCATACAAAATAAAACTAGGCCAGTGCAATTTTTGCAAACCTTAGCACATACAAGAATTTTTTTAAAAAATTCTGAATCAATAAAAAACATCCTTTGGGTCAGATTTAATTCCTAAACATGTTTCTTATCTGAAAATCTCAGCCATTCACCAACAGCACATATAGGAACTTGGAAAAATATTGCCCAAAAGAACAGGTTTATTTATTTCCTTGGGGTTTCTTTTTGGTAAGTAGCAGCCTGTCTTGTAATCTGATTTTTTCACTCGAACAACAATGGGAGGCCAGGGCAGCATAAGCCCAGTAGGCCCTCCTTCAAAACCCCAGGAAAGAGAGTGGAAGAAACCAAAAGATCACATTCTCTTTCCTAATTGGCTGTAGAAAATACACACGGTTCCTGTGCATGAATGGGAGAATCAGGTGCAACATTTTCTGTTAGTGAAAGAAGTGAACAGGAACCTTTTAGCTTACTTGTATAAACTTTAGCAGGTAACTCAGAACTTCCTGGTTTGGCATCTATCTGATCATTAATTCCATTTTCTAAAATCTGGCCAAATATGCCTCCCTTCTTCAATCGGACCCATTTTTCATCATATAAAATTCTCAAGAGTCAGAAGGTTAGAAACATGTTTACTTGTTCTAACTTCTCATTCAAGTTAAAAAAGAGCAACTAATTTATCAAGTATCTTTTACGAGTCAACAACCAGTAGCAGAAGTGCTCTGGAGCAAATCAAAGATGCTAGATTCCCTATACGGCCTCCCTTGTTGTTCACACAGCATGTCAACACTTACAAAAATAAGGTCCTCAACAAAGGCAAATGACCAGTCTTATCTACTGTAAAAATTATGCTCAAGACAGAGAGCTGCTTAATTCTAAGGCAACAAGCAGAGCTTTACAAATATTCCAAATTAAATTATCTCAATACTTTTCCCACTCATTCATCCTCTGAAGAGCAGAGTGTACACACACACACACACACACACACACACACAATTTCTTGTTATTTGCTTGGCATAGTTTATTTGCAAGCCTTTACTCTGGTCCCCACTACCCAAGATAATACTGACGCTACCAGCTACCTATGTTTAGGGCTCATCTATCCCTAAAGTTCTGCCAAGCAAGATATATTTCAAAAAACTAAGTTCTCCCAAGTATGGAGTAAGAGTAGAAAAAGTTACTTACGTTGATTTAGGGGGAAAAAAAAGAGGAATCCAGCACCAAATTTTTAGCGTTTCTTAATGGTTCAGAGTGGGTTTTTAACAATTAACATTCCCTAACAAAATGCTTGAACAGAAGCATGAACGATAAGTGAATGCCTATTCAAGCGATATTTATATGTTGATAAGAGCCATTAAGGAAAATAATCTTGATGGGCACACTGCCACGTATTATTGGTTTGCACAGTTTAGAAGTGGCCTGCCAACACTGAGTCAATACGAACACATTTACTCCCTCACAAGTATAGTACATTTAAAATTGCATGCCTGCAAGAATTTGTTTTAAAAATGCGGAAAACAGGTTTAAAGTAAAGCTTCTTTTAAAAGTATCCTAATCAAGACAATCCATCATCAGAGTAGTTACTTTCTACAAAAAAAAAAAACACAAAAAATACCTCCAACAACTATACAATTAAGCACCCAAATGAAAACCATTAAAGGAAGATAGACAAATTTTAGTATCTGTGAGACCTAAGATCTAAAATGACCTCAGTCTTTTATGCTTACTATATAAAAACATCATACAAATATCTGCTCTGCTGTACTGAGGAAGTCTTGCTCCCAACTCAGAGTACATTATGACTTCCAAGTAGTACCAGCTGCTTAAATGAGCTTTTCATTGCATCCTGGATGAGACACTCAGGCTTAGGAGTTTCAAAAAGCTAATTTATTTTCCTATTTTACCTGAACTAGGAAAGTTTTTTTACACTGAAGTGATTAACAGTAAGAAAAAAAAATAATTGGAATATTTTATGATACCAACCTTCAAATAGGGGCATGAAAAAAAAGAATATAGAAAGATGCTTTGGCTGGCATAGAGAAGGAGAAAAGGCCTGTTCTCCAAGCTACTTCTTCCTATCTAAATCGGAATTTCTTATACAACAGCTCACACCCAACCAGCCCATGATTTAAATTCTCTCCATACACTTTTCTTCAAAAAAATTTTTATTCTAGATATGTGTGTTGTGTTACAACTGTTTCTGTAAAAAGACAACCCTATCGACTGGCTTTGCCTGTGGGCAGTACATTAGCCTAACAAAGCATGCCACTTCTATGATTCTTGGCTGTCTAGGCACCAAAGTGGTCTAGGAAATCCAGGCTATTTCAGAAGCCTTTAGGGAAAATGACCACAGAGTTTTCTCACTGCCTTAATTTTGACAGTTATTTTAATGCAACTAAGGAACAGCTACTCAGAACGCCAGGGATTGTAAAGTGCATCACAGAGAAGAAGGATATGAGTTGTGGGAAACTCACTTAGCAGACTTTTATGGAATCCGCTGTCATCAATGGGGCAAGAAAACAACATCTTAATTTTCTGTTGAGATTTTATTTGAAATCTAATTCAAATTGTCAAAGCTACAAAAGGGGGAAAAACATCTGTGTGTTATTTTTGCTAGGTCACAACATCCTAAAACAAAATATCACTACTGCCAGCAGATCAGTTACACACATTTCTGATGAAATTCATAAACACAAAAAAAGTTTCATTTTGAGAAACAGCCACAATGAAGATATTTTTGTACAATATAAAACAATGACAGGTCTACAGATGCAGTTACTCATGAGTATACACGTGCATTCACAAAAAAAAAAAATTCAGGAATGCTCTTCCATTTGATTTTTTTTAAAACAGACTTGTTCAGGCACAAAAACAAAACCGCATTTCCAGTAAGCGACAGCATTGTAAAAAAAAATATGAATTTTTTTTTTGTCAGTGTTTGCTTTTCTTTGACTTCTTGTGAGATCTGTGCGGAGATCGAGACTGAGACCTGGATTTCTTCCCTGATTTTTTAGGGGACCTAGATCGTGATCGCCTAGACCTTTTAGGTGTCCTTGAACCAGATGGTGATCTGTCAAAAATAGAAGTCAAGCATGAATATGTAGGTAAGAACTCTATTTTAGATGTTTAAAGTACCCAACAATTTAGAGCAATGAAAAAAATCATTTAAACAAAATACTTAATTTCCATAAAGTGTTATAAGCACCCTTATATTTCTAGACTACCTCAAAATGAAGGAAATACTATTATCCTGTACACTAGGAAAGCAAGCCATCCTACAAGGCAAGCTAGAGCCTCCAAAAAATTGCTATTTTAATTTTATATGAAGTCAAGATGGATCTATTATCCTAGTGAATTCTGTGGTACAGATCAATATGAAAACATCTTTCTCATTATTAATAAAAATTTCCCCTCAGAAAATAAAAGACCCAAAGTTTTGTCTCAATTCCTCTCTTCAATTCATAATTTCATGATTTGTACAAATGATGCAACATAAGTCTATGTACTATAAGGAATAAAAGATCACAAAGTACATTACCAGGAGAGACTCTACATAATTTTTAGTTCTACCGTTTAAGAAAAGGCAGATTCGATTCTATGATCATCTAAATACAATACCATCTAGAACAAGAACTGGATGTGTTTGAAATCCATTCCAGCCCTATGATTTTATTAGCAATAGACTAACTAGAGAAAGTTTTTCAGTCCAAAAGAAACTTCTGTCTATAAGATTTTTTAAGAAGACAATTTGCCATTTAGATATCTGCAATTTAAGAGGCCCCAAATAACCCATGTTCCTGATCTCCACACAAATAGTAATGTAAAATCCAGAAGCTACTTAACACAAACTCATGCAACAAATGAAGCATGGTGTATAGAGAGAAGACCTGGGTTCAAATCCTACCTGAAATACTAAAAGTATAACCACAGGCAAGACACTTGGTCTCTGTCAGGCTCCGCTTCTTTCCCTATAAAGGAGGGGCAAGGCTAGATGGCCCTCCAAGCTCTAAAACTGTGACAGTCTATGAATACTGCCAGCATTGTGTCTGAAGTCAGAATGCAATAACTCATTGATCTGTGAGCCACAAGTGCACAGGACTGAAAACAAAGAAGCCTTATCGGCAGCAAAACTAAAGACCCCAGAGTCCAAGTGGGATCAAACCCAAAGGCTTCCTCCACAGGACAGAGTAAGAGGCTATCTTCTCTGGGAGTACATGCATTCTGAGGGACCTAGATTCCCATCCCACAGCAGATCAGAAGTATCAAACAAGAAAAGGGATGTATGTTGGGAGAAGAGAAAGGTCAAGGAAGGATCTTAGAAAGTAAACTGATAATGAGGAGAATTTTTTGCTGATGTTAAGGGAGAAAAGAGGAAAAAAACTATAAAATTAGACATAAGAACTTTAAAAAAAAAAAAGAAAGAAAGAAACAGCAGCCCACAGCCATTTAGCTTGTCCACAGGGGCTAAGGGCATGACAGTATTGCTACAATAACTTCCACGCATCCCTGAGCCTCCGAGAACATGTTAAACTAGGGCCAGAATGCTTTGAGAAGGCAGAGTGTAATACTATTTTGGACAAATTCTCATCAGATTTCTTTTTAGCTCTGACACCCCAAAAGAAAACATTTTAGTTGTTTGGTAAATTTCCATTAACAGCAAAAAATGACATGTTCCTGTATTAAGTGTCTGTGGAGACAGAAGGAAAAAAAGGAAAAAAGTACGCAGACTACAGAATTCATTAAGTGAAAAAGAGAATCAAGAAGAGATTCCTCTATGCAAATATCTGCATCAGCCCCACATTCTTCCCTGTGATGCTGCTGTGGTATAAGATGGTGATCCAGGGTAACAAAATAACTTAGACAAGTCTTCTTTCTTTCATGGCAAAGCCTCAGCATACTATAGAAACTACAGAAGACAGTGGGAGGGGAAGAAGGAACCTCTTTTCTAGATTCATTTGAGCAGTTTTGAATATATATCTGAAGGTTATTGATCCTCCTTTCTCACTCAAAAGACTTTCCTTATGCTTACTCTAGAGAAAAACTGAATAATCTAAAATTCAAAGCATTTAAGAAAGTCATCAAGGAAAATGAGAGCAAAATAATTCACAGAACTGCATTTGCTGATAATTCTCCTGAATTTAAGTTCCTTTTTAAATAGCAAAAAATCTTAAATGATAAAAAAAAAATTATTTATGGAATTATGAAGAAAACTATAAAGTACATTATTTTTACAACCTGAATTTAGAGAAATGACTCAGAATTACCTTTTGGCCTTTTTACTAACATCTCTGGGAGAATCTTTGTGAGATGACCTGGAACGGGAACTCTCTTTGTGAGATCTCTCTGATCGTTCTGATCGCTCCGATTTTGGTGATGGGGATTTCGCTCGCCTACCACTACTGCTCCGAGAGGGACTGGGAGATGTGCTATGTCGCCTTTTCCTGTGCAATGAAGAGACAAAATATTCAATAACTGGTAATGAATAGCTACATACATTAACTCCTACCAATATTTACTTTCAACTGCTACAGCAATGTTATTTTGTATCAGTAGTTCAAGTCCAACATGCCAAGTGACTTCTCCGTCAACAATTAAGGCTTTTATTACCAAATTATCATTTCTTACTAATGCCACACTACTGAAAAAATATAGTCTTTTCTTCAAGAGCAAAAGGTTAATAGTAAGAACATGTTATACCAAACATGATACGGTCCCAGACTTCATATGAAGCAGGGACATAAACACAGGGTGGACAGTTCCACATAAATGATGACCTTCCCTCTTGCTGCAACAGGAAAAGCATCAATCTTTGCTTTAAGATGAATGAATTTAATCTCAAAGTTGCATGTGAAATGTTTTACTTTTTCTTAAATCACTTTGAGAGCTCTTTGGAATAGGAATGTCTGCCATGAACAATCGTAGTCACATGATGCATATGTGCATCTCTTTTACCAAAACCTTTCAGCTGTAGCTAGCCAAGGTTCAAATACATTTCAAAGGATGAAGCCCAAATCTTCTGGATCAAGGGCCCTTACAATTATTAAGAAACCGTACGCTGCAACAGGGCTCAAACAGAAGCAAATTTATGACACCCTGTAACTTGGTGAACCCAGAAGTGTGAACCTCTCTTCCTAACTGAAGCCCCTCTGAGCTGAAGTGAAGGTAAACGGCTCCTTTTTCTCATCCTCCCCCACTTCCAGGTTGAAGGCAGCCATCACTGGCACATTAATCTGTGAGAGCTGCTTATCTGGGAGATAATGAAGATCTAGTGAGTTGTTTTGGTCATTTGACTCTTAGGTTTGGTATGTGATACTGCAACTAAATTCCTCTTCTGAGGTAAGAACTTAAGATACAATCTGAACCTTGAAATAGGCAAGATGGCCACACAACCAAGCCCAGAACTCTCCCTTATTCTCCAAGTAAATACTGCCGCCCTTTGTGGGCAAAAACCAACTGAGCCCATGACCAAAAACATCATTTTTCCAGGTCACTGCCATGATTCCTTTGTGTCTTGGTGTCCTCATCTGTAAAATGAGGATCCTGGACTAGATGACCTCCAAAGTCCTTCTGGCTTTCGTTCTATTTGCTATGAAAACGTCACATAACAGTCACACCAGTCCAAACCCCCAACTTTCTCCCAAGAGCAAAATAACAAAGGCTGCACCTTTCTTTCCTTGTTGGTGTGCATTCTTCCTTTTCCTTCTTGTCTTTGGATCGAGATTCCAGTTTCTCTTTATCCTTCTTGTCTCTCTCACGCTCTCTTTCCAATTCCTTCTCCTTTTCCTAAAAAAATTTTTAAAAAAGCATTTCTGAGATTTGTCACATTTTACAAATAATTTAAAATTCTGTGTAATTTCACTTATCCACTACTGGGTTTTTTTGAGCTTATGTGATTTTCAAATATATATATGTGAATTTAATTAACATCTGAAATGCTTTCACACAGAAGACATCTTTTAAAAGTAGGCTTTTAAATATAAGCATAAAAATAGACAAAAAAGGGTAAGTATCTTATCATGCCAATAGTTTATCCATATTATAAATGGTGATTGTTCTGGCAGATTAAAAGTCTTACAGCAATTTAACAGAAGACATAAACTGGCTGAGCAATTTTCCAATATTTGCTTGTCCTAAATCAATGAGATATGCAAAGTACCCATGTGCCAAGCACTATATCTACACTGTACTTGTTACAAGGGACTCAAAACAAAAATGAATGGTCCTAGCCCATAGGGAGTCTACGTGCTGTTCTACAATTCCAAATGAAATATCAATTTCTACTAATATCTCCTTTAAGGACAGGGACAATTTCTTATTCATCTTCCTATCTCCTATTTCAACATGCATTGCACACAGTAGGCACTTAATGTTTGTGGAATGAACAAGGCAGGGGTCTCCTGAATAATTTTTACACTCCTTCCCAAGGCTTATTTAGCTCTACACTAATGTGAATTTTCTTCACAAATTTATAAAATTTGAAAGGGGGGTGAAATCTGCTCAAGACAATTCCTTCCTTTTCCAATTAAAATGGGAAAAACGTAAAAGATCCAAGAGGCAACTATGTTCTAGAACAGATGTCGGTGATTTTAAACCATTAAATTTCATCTGCTACCATCAAGTCTATTGAAAGAATAAGTTTGGAGGTAGATAATTTTTCATACACTACAAAACTCTTAATCACTACCTCCCCAAAGCTTCATATACCAATCAATCAATTCTGTGGCTTAATTATCAGTTTTGAAAACATTTCATGTTCATTTGGATCAGAAATATGAAAGTGATAAAGAGACTGGGTACTATAATGCATAGAAATCATATTTTTCCAATTATAAATGCAGTTAAATGCCTAAAACAAGCAACTTTTAAATCAGCACATAACTGCAGCATTACTGATTACTCTATGACTTCCAGCCTTGTGAAAATCTGAAGAAAAATAAGTGGTGGTTTTTTTGGGGGGAGGGGATGAGGAGGAGTGGAGGATAGGAGAGGAGACAGAGAGACAAGACAGGATGGACAAAATGATATTCATCACTCCCAGCTCTGCTAGTTTCATAAAGTAGCCTAAATCAACAGTAACATTTCCTGGTCCATGTAGTCAGCAGTGTTGGCGCCTCAGCTTCAAGACACTGTACAGAAGTTTCCTACAATCCAAAATTTCACCAATTCAAATTGCTTTCAGGCTCCTTGTGCCATTTCTACAGTGAGGTCCAGAACATCTCATACTGTCACAAGTATAATATCACCCCTTCGCTACCACCAGGGTCTCACAGACATACCTAAAAAGATTAATCTATTATAATTTTATAGGTGATAGAGGCTACACCGACCCCTTAAATAAAGCCCTTTTGCCTACTTCAAAAGGCTTTTAATATAGAATTCTAAACATGCCAAATGTTGTCAAATGTTTCTCATGTTTACAATTCAGAGAATACAAATGTAAATAAGCCAATTTCTTATGTTCTTTTAAAAGGATATAAAACTTCTAAGCCATTAGTCTAATCAATGAGGCAAATACCAAAATATAGAATTCCCCTTACTCTCTGAAGAAGTTTGTCTCTGTAGTGTTCCACTTGTTCTTGAAAGCTCTGCCCTGGTTTTTTCGGCCTTTTCCCAGATTCCAATTCATCCTGAAACTTCATCACTTTGAGCTGTGGAATAAAAGGGCATTTAAAAGTTTGTCCTCATTACCAAAAGCTTGATCAAAAAAAGGTTCCTGAGGCCAAGCACCACAGTCATTGTTTCCTATCTGGCTTATGAAGACCAATGCAAACTTAACTGCTGTTGTTCAGTTGTTTCAGTTGTGTCTGACTCTTCACGAGATTATCTGGGTTTCTTGGCAAAGATACTGGACTGGATGGCCATTTCCTTCTCTGACTCATTTTACAGATCAGGAAACTGAGGCAAACAGGGTTAAGTGACTTGCTCAGGGTCACCTAGCTAGTAAGTGTCTGAGGTCAGATTTAAATTCAGAAAGTCTATCCACTGCACCACCTAGTTGCAGTAATGAGTAATTAAGTCAGAAAAAAGTTCAAGACAAGACAGAGTAGACTGGCCATAGCTGCTAGGGAGGGAGAGTGGGACCTAGGGTTTGCATCCATCTTTGCCACTTTATAGCTGGGTTACTTCAGGCAAGTCACAGTACGTGCCTGAGACCCAGTCTCCCCACCTGTAAAAGAGGATCAATTAGCATTGGTACTACCTACTTCACAATGCAGGGGCAGGCGCCCCTCGGCACAGTAGAAGAGACATGACATACAAACATCTGATAGCATATCTGGAATAATCAATCAACATTTGGGCAGTTACTTACCTGATCACCTCACATATCCAGACCATAGCCGTCTGTTAGCTTCTTGACCACAGGAGCCATTCCAACCCTCTTTCCCCCAATAAAGTTTTAAAATGAAAAGCCCTATTTTGTTGTCTTTAGTTACTCTTGCCCAGCTCAATGCCTTTAGCACTTGGACATCATTCTTAAAAGGTGCTGTCCTACTTCTGTATGCAAACTCTGTTATCTGCCCATGCTCACCTTTGATGCAAGTCTAAAAACATCCAAGCTGGCCAATGAGTTTCTCTGTGCATCCAGATAGGTCTCTGGACAATTCACTTTTTTCCCACCTCATCATAAATGTTTCTCTCTCTGCATTCAGAATTTTATTACTGATATTTCCCATCCCTCCCAGACTTATGTGTCATGTCAAAGTTTAATCCATGGGATCCTATCTAGCCTTTCTCTGCACCACTAGAAACCTGCTCTATAAAAACGTGGAGCACATGACATATGGCCAGCTTTCCTTGCCTATCATAATTTCTAAGATGAGACTGTTATTTCCCCTCAACATACTCGTAATTTCCACCATTTACAGCTAGAAAGGAATTTGGATATGAATGTCCTCTTCCAACTCTTTTGTTTTAAAGATGAAAAAAACTAAACTCAAAGATAAGATATTAAAATGACTAGTTGGATACTTGGTTAGTAGGAATCAGATATAAAATGGCTCTTTGATTGTGCTACCTTTTAAAAGAGAGAATTAGGATGGTTAACAGAAAAGTGCTAGACTTGAATCCTCAAAGACCCAGTTTAAATTCCACTGCTGGTATTCTTTAGTTGGTGACTGTATGCAAATCACATAAGTTCTCTGAGCCTGTTTCTTCATCTATAAAATATGGATAATAACTTTAATGTACTTACTTGTTACCACATAGGATTGTAAGGACAAAGTATGCAAAGAGTTTTGCAAAGCTCAATGCAGTGGTAACCATCAAGTCTCCTGGGCTGACTCATCATCCACATCACAATCCCCAAACTGGAGTGCTCTCCAAGGCTGTTCCAGACCTTCTCTCTTCTCTACACTTTCTTGGTGACTTTATCACTTCTTACAGGTTTAATTATTAACTCTATGCTGACTCACTAATCTGCAGATTTAGCCTCAATCTTTCCACTGAGCTTCAGTTCCACATCACCAACTGCCTACGGGACATTTCAAACTGGACATCCTGTGGACACCTGAAACTCAACATGTCCAAAAGAGAACTCATAGGGGCAGCTAGGTGACACAGTCAATAGAGCTCTGGCCTTGGAGTCAGGAGGACCTGAGTTCAAATCCAGTCTCAGACGCTTAACACTGTGTGACCCTGGGAAAGTCACTTAACCTCAATCGCCTCACCAAAAAGCCAAAGAGAGAGAGAGAGAGAGAGAGAGAGAGAGAGGAGAGGGGAGAGAGAGAGAGAGAGAGAGAGAGAGAGAGAGAGAGAGAGAGAACTCATAATCTTTCCCCTCCAAACCCTCCCCCTTTCCAAATTCTCCATTTCTATCAGAGGCACCACCATCCTTCAAGTTTGTAATATTAAATGTGCCAAAACCATCTTGCACCCAACCCGTTCTTTCTATTCTCATTACCACCACCCTGAGTTTAGTCCCTCATTACCTCTTCTCTTACCATCTGACTTCCTTAACTCAATAAAGTCTCCACACTTCCTACTGACTCTAGCAGCAAAGAGAAACTCACTTCGCTTTTAAGCCCTTCATGATCTGGCTCAAGCCTATCTTTTCAGCTCCATTATACAATACTGCCCTTCCCAGACTCTACGATTCAGCTGAACCAGACTTCTCTCTGCTCCTTACACTTGTCATTCTATCTCCCACCTTTGTACCTTTGCACCAGTTGCCCCCATAAATGGAATGCACTCCTTCCTCACCCCATCTCAGAGAATCTCTCTTCAAGACAGCCCAAGAACACTCTCTATATGAAGCCTTTCCGGATCACCCTAATGCCTCATTTCCTAACTACTTTCTATTTATTTTTATTTACTCTGCAGGCTCCCTCTACTGCCCTTTCCCAAATTACCTTGTATTTAACTACTTTGTATCTATTTATACTTACTAGCTTTAGAGTTATATACTACATGTATTTTTTATAAGTCCTTGCTGCCTCCTCCATTAGCTCGCGAGTAAATTATTTCATTCTTTGTGACTGTGTCCCCAGAACTCAGCCTGGCACATAGCAGGGATATGATAAGTACTGAACTGACTGCAGAAACTTATTCTGAATATATTTATTCTGTGACCTCTTACAGATGCACATCTTTCCAGAGCAGTCATTTGCCTGCGCACCAAGCACAGCTGGCACAAAGTGGGCATTTAATAAGTTGATGACTGACTTATCAAATAAATCAAAAAGTTATTGGCTACCCTGCTTCCGGCAAAGAGAGCTCCAGCAAACCCCTACACCAATCAATATGCCAAGACCATGATCTGTTTCCTGAATTCCTCAACTACTGCCTTTCTTTCCAGGTCATCTGAGCATGCTCAGATGACAGTATCTCTTAGTTCCTGACTATACTAATTTTTGCCCAAGGGCTTTTCATCATGTTTTCTCCTCTAATTACCAGGTTTCCTTACATAATCATATTTTCTTAATACACAATGCTAGTCCACCCCACCATTTCACTCCTTTGGGGCAAGATATACCTTTCCACAACCACAATCAAATAATGGAACAAACTGCACACTAAGCCTCAGAGATACTGACAAGGTCACATTTGAATCCTTATGAGGCTCTCTTAGTGTGCCTGGTATAATTTTTTACCTCACAGAATAAACAGCATGTCAGGCCCTCACACACAGCATTTACTTTTGCTTTCCACAAAATTCTAGTAAATTTGGTTGCCTGGTCACATACCACAAATCAGAAGGCAAAAAGTAGAATACATACATCACTAGTGATATACTAAAAGTTGAAGTCAAAGAAACAAAAAAAAAATGACAAAAGCACAAACTCAAAAAACAGTAGTCTGTAGTCACTGTTATAATGGGTCCAAGAGTCATATACCTACACATCTAACTAAACTGTGAGGACATCATTGTGTTTATAGTATTTATAGTACTGGAGCTGATATTCACAAAGGGCCTGTAGCCACCAAGAAAAGGTTAATTTATAATCTATATATTCTGTTTTTAAAAAAGAAAAGAAAATAGAAAAATTTTCATTTTTTAAAGTTTTGGCACCCAAAATGAGTATCAGCCATCTAGAAAATCTCACTCATTTGGAACAGCTCTATCCTTACCCAGTGATGCTTGAGTAAATAAGATGTTTTTGTATTTAGAAAATATTCTAACATTTCGTATCTAGTTTCTGCTCAATGTCATATCAGTTCTTTAATACATAGTGGATTTTATTCCCTACCAATATTATGTACATGTCCTTGCTTTTCTTGGATTTTACAAAATATAGTTACTGCTCTTAATTTACCCTGTACTTACTTTAAAATCCTACTAGATAGAAAATCTGTTACTTGAAAAAAATTTCCACCTAAAACGACTGCAGATGCTTACATTCATTTATTCAAAACCCACTAACAGGAATTTGAAAATGAATAAAAAGGGAGTTAAGAAACACAAACATAACGTAAATGATAACATTTGCACAGAAAGGAGTACAAAGTATATCAAATAAGGCGCGAGACTACTCTCAGAATGACAGCTAAGGAGTCTGGAGTCAGAGATGCAAGCTCCAATGCTAATGCAACAGTTTCTTATTACCCAAACTAGAACACTTGGGAACTATCCTAAAGTTTAAAAAGTTAAGTTACTGTTGCTAAGGACTGTCTGTCTGTCTGTCTGTCTGTCTGTCTGTCTGTCTGTCTGTCTGTCTCTCTCTCTCTCTCTCTCTCTCTCTCTCTCTCTGTCCCAAGGAAAAGGCAGACCTAGACAGGTTTGTAGGTAGCTAGAAGCAAGAGTACGGAAAGGAAAATTTTCTGAATATGCAAGAGAGAATTGGACTGATTGCTGTCAAAGGTCAAGAAGGTCCCTTCAAAGCAGAGAAAGAAAAGTTAGTCTTGGAAAGAAGTATCAATCTCAAGCAGAAAAAGTCAGACCAGATTAGCAGAATGAGAAAAGAACTGTCATATCACAGGCACAATATAACAGTTTTAGAATTAGTGTAATTAATCTCTAACACCTATAACAGATAGCTCACATTAATACAGTGCTTTAAGGTCTATAAAGCATTTTGCACAACTACCCTATAAGATCTAATACAGGTCTTATCCTACCTAGTAGATACTGAGCTGACCTTGGAGCCAGGAAGACCTGGGGCCCTCTAACACTGGCTGTGTGACCCAGGACAAGTCACTGAGCCTCTCAGTGCCCTAGACAACTCTCTAGGACTCTCAGTGGCAGAGGCGCTGACCTTCATAAACAGAAGGACTGTTTTATTAAGGAGTCCTCACTTCAAAGTCACAGGTCCAGTCCCTATTCCTATTTCAGATGAGAAAACAGGATTCAGTGAAGAGACCCACCCATGGTCACAAAGCTGGAGTGTGTCAAGGCAAGGCCTGAACCAGAATCTCCTGACTCCAAGCCTAGCACCGTAGTGCCCATAGAATTTCAGAACCTGGAAAGGAAGATAAGAATTGCCTATTCCTACCCTTTCGTTTCATAGACAAGAAAAACAAAATCCAGAGATAAGTGAAGAGTTACAGTGAGTGACTGATGCTGGATAAAAGCCCTGGTTTCCAGACTCCTGGTTCAGTATTCTTCTCATAACATCACCTCTAACAGTCTAAAAACACTCAGCCCATCGACAGTATGCTGGGAAATTAGTAGACTTGTGAACAGAATAACTGAATATCTGTTGGTTTAAAACTACTAAAACTGTTTTCATATGACATGCTCTTAAATAGTTGGTTTAAATAATCCTAGATTTTTTGGTATTTTCTAAATATAATTTCCCCAAATAATTTCAAACTACACCACGTCCAAGAGTCTTAAATATTATCATATCCACTTTAAATAATCTCTCCTCTAGGATAAACATAAAGAGAGTGCGTATTTAGAACTGGAAGGCATCTAGTCCAAACCCTCTCGTTTTAGAGATGCAACAAGGCCTAGAGAGGTTATGGCGACTTCCTCAGGTCGCAGAACTATCAGAGGGCATAGGATTCAAATCCAAACTCTTCCCTCAGTACGACATATCACACTTCAACATCCCAGAAATGACAAAAGCCTCTGAACATCTCACACAGTTGTCCAAAGGCCCAACTAAAACAATGTAATTTACTCATGAGGACAGGTCCTCAAGGGCAGCCAGATAGTATCACAGTGCACAGAGCAGTAGGCCCGGGGTCAGGAAGAACTGAGTTCAAATCTTGCCTCAGACACTTACTAGCTGTGTGACCGCGGGCGAGTCATTTAGCCCTGTTTTGTCTCGGTTTTCTCATTTGCAAAATGATCTGGAAAAGGAAATGGCAAACCACTCCAGTATCTTTGCTAAGAAAACCCCAAATGGGATCACAGAAAGTTGAACAAGACTGAAAAGAGTGACTGAACAACACCATAGGTTCTTAGTAACTTCACCCCCAATCCTCACTTAAAATTTTGTTTTTAAAGTACCTTGAGATTTTATATGAACAGAGATACATCTCTAACATCTAAAATCTACTACCATGTGCATTCCCTAAAACCCTGAGCTGATGAGACAAACCAAGTCCCTTTACTTGTGTGGTTTACTCACTGATTCAACATACAATTTTTAATTAAGCCTGGTTACTGAATGGCTCCAGGATTAATATTCTGGTCTCTTGAATTCAGTAGCCAGTTCAAGTCATGGCAGACTCAAGTTTGAGGGAAAACATAAATGGACTAGAAAGAACAGGGAAATTGGACCCAGAAAATCTGGGTTCAGGTTCTAGCTTTGCAACATACTCCTTGTATAATTCTGGCAAGTGGCTTCACCTTTATGGGACTCAATTTCCTCCTCTGGAAAATGAACAAGCTGGATACAATCATCTCTATGAGTCTTTGTTACCTAAAGAACCCCTTCTTGGGGTTTTTTGCTCTTTTTACGAGTTCTTTCCTGCTAGAGAAAAGGTAGGATATTTTATTCTCCTAGAGGAGAAGCCAAAGGTGCGTATTTTAGCTCTCACTTTGCCACTGAGTAGCATGGGCTCCCTCAGCTCCACACTGCACAAGGTTCTCTTCTTCTTGTATAAAGTATCAAGACATAGTCTCTAACCTCACAGAGCTTACAGTCTACTGAATGATCTCTAAAGTTCTTTCTAGCACTAAAATTCTTTAATTCTATGATTCTGTTCCCAGTTCAAACCAATCAGAAGCAACCATCTAAATGGAAGGCAGGACAACAGGAACACCTACAAGTGATAGATCCCAGTCTGACAGGCTGAAACCAGAAACCAAAGACATCTAACACAGTAATCAGAGCACCAAAGTCATCAAAAAGGGTAAATTAGTCAGGATCCTCTACTTAAGACAGCAAAAATGCACTAAGCATTGGAAAACCATTCCCATCAAAATTAAACCAAGTGTGGCATATAAAGAGGCCCAACAGCCATCTGAGAAATGCACACCTGACAACTCAGGCCTGATAAATGGCGGGGTGGGGTTGTGTGCTCCAGTCACAGTCTACTCTACCATGACACCTGCCAAACAGTTTTTTTAGAAAAGGTTTACTTTAATGACATAATTCAGGATTCACTATGAAATTCTCCTGTGAATTTTCTAGGTCAAGCCTTTTATTTAACCTATTTATTCTGTTTAAATTTATTTGTAATTTGACTATTCAATTTACATTTAAAAAAATTCAAGAAACCTCCAGAAACTAAATTAAAAATGTATTCTGATGAGTATTATATGTCAGATTTAAATAGCATTAACAGAGTAAGTCCTTCTGTGGGCAATTTAGAGTACACATATAATACTATAAAGTCACACTTTTCGGAAAAGAGATGAGGAATGTGCCATTTCCGTAACGTTAAATATTATGAACTTCCCTAGCACACTGCAGGGAAACCACACAAACCAATAACTCTGAAAATCACTGATTTCTCCACCCAAAGTTTACACCCTACTGATATACTGCACAGCTCATAATAAAATGTTATCAGTGGTTTTTGAATTGACTGTGTATGAGAAATGGGTGGGGAAAAGGCCTGCAATAACCTAGCAACACCAATGACTACTTAGGGAAAAGGAAATAAGATAACACAAACGAAAGGTATAATGTAAACACAAACTACATAAGAAACTCACGGTTCTCTGTCAACCTTATTCTTTCAAGTGTGAGACTCCATTACTCCTTCACTACAGATGGTAACTCCTGGGAAGCCTTTGTCACAATCTGAGGGTAAAGATTCAAGAGGATCTTCCCCAATAAAATATCCTACCTTTTATCTGGCAGGAAAGAACACATAAAAAGAACAAAAAACAGTCTGCTCCCAAGAAGGGGAAAGGTTCCTTAAGTAACAACAACTCATGAAAACGATTGTATCCAGCCTGGTCATTTTCTAGAGGAGGAAACTGAGGCCTAGACAGGTGAAGCCACTTGCCAAAGTTATATAAGGAGCATGTTGCAAAGTTAGAACCCGAACCCAGATTTTCTGGGTCCAATTTCCCTGCTCTTTCTAATCCAGCACAAGTTCTTTTTTCTCATTCCAGAACATTCAAATACCAACCAGCATCTCAGCTACAATAACAATCCCCACACAGATCACCTCTGCTGTTAGAAAGAAATGTTACTTTTCCCAGTTCACAGGCCAGGCATGATAGAGGAATTAATCTGGGCCACAACGTATCACCTAACTAATACAGATCATCCAAACTCAGGAGACATCTAGTCTTTATGACCCAAATTACCAAACATTACCTTTTCTTATGAGCTTGGTCGTACTTTCATACTCCGTGCTAATACTAACCTCAATTTCTCGAAGTTTAGCTCGTTTTTCTTCACTCATTTCAGAATATTTAATAGAGGACTTGGATTCTGTCATTTCTTCTTTGATTGGATTGGAATACAAATGATGTTCTTCAGATTTGGAGCTCTGAGTGTCTTCCTCATCTTCACTCTCTTCTTCTTGACTTTGGGAATAAGGAGCTTATGTTAGCAAGTTCAAGTTAGTGCTACAGCGTATTCTCTGCGCTCTCACTCAGCCCTTCCCTGGCTCTCAGTTCCTCTCTTTCTCTGAGTTCTTCTTATTCTTCAGGTTGGTCTCTGTGTGCTCATCTCCTTGCTTCTGTGTTTGTTTCTCTGTCTACATACATCTTATATTTTGGTATCTCTTAAGAGCCAAATCTATTCCATTCTGAATCAATTCCTTTCTCCCTCTGTCTATATCTGTGCTCCCCCAAAAATCGTGTCATCTGTGTCTGTGCTGTTCCAGTAAAACAAACTCTCCAAGGGCAGGAACTACTTCCTTCTTGTCTCATCCATTAATCATACTATTAAGCATCCAGAATAATTAGCAAAGGCTTATCAAATGTTTATTAAATTGATGATTTTTCCATAGTGTTAAGTGTTTATTTCTTGGACTCTAGAGAACTCTGGGCAGGGTAGCTTAACACATACTCATATTTTCTCATTGACATAAAACTCTGAAAAGTCTTCTGAAAAAAAGTTTTGATTCCAACAAGTAATAAAAATCACACTTAATTTACATACTGCTTTTGTGGTGTTGTATAATTCTCTCATATAACCCCTTTGTAAAACTACTTAATCAAATGAATAATCGATCCAAACGCTCTTCTTAAACATTAAATCTCACATAATCTGTAAGAAGCCACAGTGACAATATTAAATACTAAATTTTCAAAAAACATTGCCCACAAAGTGTTGATCTACACAAACTATCAATATTACTCTATATCCCTGGAAAGTTACTATTCCCATCACTGCCTTAGGTAATCAATCTTTTGCTGGTAGCAGTGGGGTCTACAGATAGTAACCAAGTGGCATAAGGGATCAAGAAACCTATCATTAGTCTAGTCTTTATTATAAACAGGTATGATTTCTTTAATACATATTTAATTGAGTCAAATTAACAAGTATTTATTAAGCATTTACTATGTGCCAGCACTGTGCTCACTGCTAGAGATACACAAAAAGGCAAAAGCAGTCATCAAAACTAAACTTCCTAAATACTAAATACTTTCCAAAAGAATAATATACTTGTAAAAGCAACTTTGAAAATAAACAATAACCTGGGGCTAAGTACCAATTAATGTCAATATAGTAATAAAGAAAGATAATCTAACCTATTTTATAATCCACAGTTTACATCTCAAAAGGATAGGTAGCCAGGTAAATTGTTTTTCTTGATACAAAAAGTCCTAGTACCTTTATACATATAACATTTCAAAGCTACTTTACCAAGTTTACACAACAGCTAGTCACCCAGGTTTGAAATTTGAATGTTTCACTCTTCTACCTCCCTCTTTTACTCCCCCCACCATATCGAAATCAGGTGCCCAGTCCTTTCAATTCTACCTTCACAATCTCCCTCACGAACATGTCCTCTCTTCTAATGCCACACCACCACTATTTCAGGCTTTCATCACCTCTCACCTGGATTATACTAAAATCTCCTTAGCTAGTGTCCCTGACTCCAGTTTCCCCAAAAAAACCCCATCCTTTCATAAATTCCCAACAAAATAATCTTCCTTAGGAAAAGGTCTAAGCATCACGCTAAAGCCCCCACATAAGAGCTGGTTTCATCCTACATTTCAAGCCCTATTTTATATTATTCTCTTCTACATACTATATAGAGAGCAGAAAAGTGCAGCAGAGGGAGAGGGAGGAGAGTAGGGCCTTTCTTCCCTTCCTAAAAGCAAAAAAACAGCTGACAGTTGCTTCCAAAATACAGTTATTTTATATGAATTTTAGAAGTGAATCATGACTCTGGGTATGAGATATAACCCCAAAACATTTTACAAGTGAGTTTTGGAAATGTTTTGATTTTTGAAAGGCCACAAAGTTCATGTCAGAGACAGAACTGTTCACTAGTCCTGCTGTAATCTTTCTTTTCTACTTCTGAAGCATAATAGAATTCAAATTCAGTTAATCCATAAAGTTTCCAAAGCAGTATGTACATAATAGACATACACAAATCTTCAACCAAAGCAAGTAAGTTGGGGCAGCTAGGTGGCGCAGTGGATAGAGCACTGGCCTTGAAGTCAGGAGGACCTGAGTTCAAATCCAGCCTCAGACCAAACACTTGACACTTATTAGCTGTGTGACCCTGAGCAAGTCACTTAACCCCAATTGCCTAAAACAAAACAAAACAAAACAAAAAAAAAGCAAGTTAATTTTTAGCTTGTTTTCTAAAGCTCCAACCTGCTATTTTAAAATCAAGTTTCTTCCTCAGGGCTGTAGCAACCAATTACTCTATCACCCATAAAATGTAGTTAGTAAAATACTATTTTAGATTTGGCCACTAGAGGGCAATAGTGTAACACACACAAAGAAATTCAAGTGCTGGTGAGAATACTACCACAAAGTGAAAACAAAAAGGCCCATATAAATTACTGTCTTTCATACCCCAGGAAGCTACCTGCACAATTATTTATTTTACCAGGCCCTATCAACTTCAATCAGTCTGTAAGAAATCCCCAAATCTTTCTCATTTGAACTGAATAGGCAATTATATTTTTAAAGAAATGGAATCATCACCCAAACCTTTGCAACATATCAGGATGATTCAAAAATCATTTTAAAATATAATAGGCCACTTAACTTTTTGGAAACATTATCTTCAATTCTGGCTTCACTCATTATTTTTCTAGTTATTAAGCTTTAACTTAAGTGTGACTTTGATTTGTTGCTAAAAAAATAAGTCACTGGAATCTCAAGTCTTACTCATCAATTTAAGACTGTTATAACACTCGAACACATGAACTAGGTTAATGGTTCAGAATAACAAAATCAAATATACATCAAAATTTAATGACTTAATGGATGTTAGTTCCGCTTTTTAGAAAACAGTATTAAGTAAAGGCTTTTCTTCCTCTTAAAAAAAAAAAAAGAAAGAAAAAGATAAAAGTCTACCATGCAAATGTGTCAACATGCTTATTATTTTGCTGTATCTAAAATAAGTATCTCTGAAACACATCCTTGCTCTGGGAATGCTATTCTATGTAGTTCACTGTTACTGATTAGCACTGCTATACTCATAATGTTAGAAAAATTATCTGTCTTATAAGAACATTCTAATCATGCAAAACTTGATTTTCACCAAAGTGATTATTACATTTCCCCAAAACCTAAAAGACACTGGTATTCCTTCATATTTTTACATACCCCAACTCTGACTTGGCTCTCTCTTGTTCAAGCTCTCATTTAAAAAAAAAATTCTCCTTTTTATATAGAGATCTTTAATCTTCCAATACTGCCATGGAAAAAGGGCTGATATAGAAAGTGCTACCTCTAACTCAAAGCAGCAATTATACTAGCAAGCTATAGCCTAAAGGATTTTGCAACACAGATTACTACAATTTCATACCCAAAAGACAAATATAAAAAATATTTAAAACTAGGAGGACTGGGAGCAAAATGACACAAAAATATTATAATTTTACTTTGAAATAAAATTTTATACTCTACTTCTTTTTTTTTTTGCCTTATGGATAGAAAAATGCACTGTGCCAATTTATGCTGCTTGGTCCCTTGAGGCATTCTTTAAATTCTAGTCTTAGTGTTAAGCGATATAATTCACGGAAAAATCCAAAAAGTATCTGACCAAAAATAAAAAGAGAGAGACAGAGAGAGAGAAAAGACACTACCAGACCTGCCCTTCCTCTTGTTGAAGATCTCTCCTCCAATTTTCTTCAAAACACTACCAAGTATTTAAGTGCACACTCTTTGTGTGAATATGTCTGTCTCTCTAGGTACTCTATTTTACGATGTAAGCTCCTATATAACATGGAGAATGATACTGCTATTCCTTCTACCTCTTTAAAAATCACTTTCCACGGAGCCCAATACAATATTTGATAAGAGAGATCTGAAAGAAATGCCACTGATCAATTAACATATTTAACTACAAAGTGAGATTCATAACTTGATGGGAGAAAACAAATACACTACAGCTAAAAAGCTCACTGAAATGAGAAGCACTATAACCAGAAGCCAAAAGCTCCTTATATGCTGGGAAAATAAGTGAGGATCTGAACATGATCCCCTTACCGGTTTTTCCCCCTCTTCACTATTATTTCAAGCACACCCCCTGATGAAAAAAGGGCACCCACACCAGAAACTGAGCACATTAAGATCCTAGATTCTTACTTTTGATTTTCTTCTTCTTCTGATTCTTCATGCTGGTCAAATAACTCCCACTTAGATGTTGTTACCGCTGAATAAAGGGGAAAAGGATGTAATTCCATAAGGTAAATTAACATTATTGTAGAAGCAGAGCCAGTTCCAGGTTTAGAGCTAGGGGTCTGCATTACACAAGTTTTTATCTGTATGGTATTAACAGCCATTTCTTTGTTCTTACATGCACTGCATCCCTCATGGGAATATGTAAGTTTAATTCTTTACTCAAACTTACATCGCACTTCTATCTGTATAAACTAGGTGACTAAAATTCTCATGCTTGTGTTGAAGATTTCTTGTTTGATCAGAAACTTCACATATTCCTGTGGACACACTATATGCACCTTGTTCACATCCATGTGTGCACATCATGAGCACACCCTAGCTTGGGGCACTCATAAAGTCAATCTAAGTACAAGGATAGGGAGAAACTTCACTAAGAGTGGAGGGCTCATTTCCTCCAACCTACTAATTCCTACAGGCAAGATAAGTTTGAAATTGGCTCCCAAATGTCCTGTCATTCTGTACTTTGATTTTCAATTCAAATTATGTCACTTAAGAGACTTTTGGCCAGCTAAACAAGGGCACAAAACGAGACAGGGAGCGTTTTCTGGTCTACTTAGAACTTAACAGGCCCTCTCATATCTCTGATTCTAAACTTCTGCTACATAAACACCAGGAGCTGCCCCTGCCCTTAACCCAGGCACAAGAAGATGACATCTGTAAAATGTGCCATGAATGCTAGCTATTATTTACTTGTGGAAAAAAAAGCTTAATAAGGAATTGCATTCTGCTCACCTTGTGCTTCCAATTCCGATTCATCTACTGCTTCCCATTTGGATGGGGCTACTTTAAAAATGGGCTCATTCTTTTTTGAATCTTCAGAGGTATCCACTGTTGAGGCAAAGAACTGCACTATTAGGTGAGGTGACAACCAAGGAAAGTAATGCTAAAAAACAGCATCTATATCGTTCGTCAATGATTTTTAAAATATTTATCCCATGATTTAAGGATGTTTTGTTTTTATAACACATTCATTTCTGAAAATATTCCCCCTGCCAACCCTACTGACTTGTTGGACAAGTCATTTAACCTCTCTGCCTCAATTTCCTCGTCTCCAAACTGGGAATGAAATAACATCTGTCTTAGAGCTGGTGGAAAAGTGCACAGAGCTTAGGGTCTGGAGTCAGAAGACCTGAGTTCAAATTTTGCCCTCAGATATTTATTAGCCATTTAACCTTGGGCAAGTCACTTAACCTCTGTTTGCCTCAGTCTCCTCAACTCTAAAAAGAGGATAGCACCAAAGTATTCCCAGGGTGGTTATGAGAATCTAAAATGAGATAATATTTGTAAAGTATTTAGTATTTAAAACCTAACACATGGCAGGTACCATATAAATGCTAGCTAGTATTATAAAGTTGTGTTGGGAGGTAATCAAATGAGAAAATATACATAAAACTGTTTGCAAACCTGAAGACTTGGGAATAGTCAGAAACCGTATGAGACATAAGAGAACAAGGTCACAAAAACCCAGAGAACAGAGGATCTCCAGAAGGAGAAGGGAGCAACAGGGTCAAATGCTGCAGAGAGTCTGAGAAAGACAAGGACTTGTGACAAGGCAATCAGATTTGGTCACCAAGAGAAACAAACACACATACATATGTGTCACACAGATTTAGGAATCCAGTGCTTTTTCCTATACAGGGAAGAAGAGGAACAAGGTCTGAATCCCACTTCTGCCACTTACTCTCTGTCTCGCCTGGGTAAGTGCCTACAGGTCTTCATCTATAAAACACAAAGGCTGGACTGGATGATCTCTATACTTTCTGGGTCTAAATTCTGTACTTTTCCCTCTATCAATGCACAACAGCCGAGGCTCTGCAACTTCTAGTCTTAGAGTGGCCCTGAGCACCAGAGAGGATGGGACAAGGCCAGGCAGCAGAAGCAAGATCCTAAGGTGAGACCACTCATTACCCACCAAGCACACTTACCTCTCAGTGTAGTATGTGTGTACACACACACACACACACACACACCCAACAACTTTTTTTCCCCTTAAATAACAAACACAAATCCAAATAAAATAAAACCTTTCCATCACAAAATCCTATGTGACATTTTTCATTATTTTCATGTAGAAAAATTAAGAATAAAATCTGCTTAATTTCACGTGTCAATCTATTTCCTTCTCTCTACATAAAATCAAAGGCAAAAGTTTCTCTTACAAGGCACACCATCGAGATCATCATCAAGTGACTTTATGGGGACTCCATCGAGATCATCAATGGGAGTGGCATCAATAGGAATTCCATCTACATCTTCCAAGGGTGCACCATCAAGTTCTTCCTCAATGGGAGCCCCATCAAGATCATCTGGTACTTCCTACAGAAACACAGACATATGAACGTCCTCCTGTATTTCTTACCAGCTGCTGCTTTGGCACTTAACAGCATCTTCCACAAGATTATTAACAAGTTAGTACAATCCTACTGAGACATGGATGCCAATTATCATATTTAGGAGAGATCTATGGTTTATATTTCACTAGAATACAAACTCCTACAGGGTTAAGTACCCATTTTCATATCTCCGGGATAAGTACAGTGCTATGTACATAGTAGATAACTAAAAAACACCTGCTGAATCAAATGATAAAGAGCACATATGAATTAAGATTTAGTCTACTGACAAAAGTGAAAATAAAAAGAAATGGCATAATAAACTTTTTTGTACATAACTTTAAAACTGAATTCGCAGGTTTTTTTCTAATGAAAATGAAAATCATAGATGGTCCCATTAAAACATCGGTTTAGAGTTTGTTTTGCTCAATTAAAGTCATTATGAAACTGTTCAAAACACTAAATTCATCAGTTTAACTATGCACAGCTTTGATTATTATAGCCACATGTGCATTTACACAAAACTTTCAAATACACTTTTTTCTTCTCATTACCAAATATAGCAAACTATTAATTTTCCAAGGAAACAAATTTGGCTGGTAAATAAGTCTATCAATAATAAAAAATCAACAATTCAACAAATATTTATGATTAGCAACACGTAACATAAAAATAGCTATAGCACTAAGCTATGATTTAGTATCGTTTTTAAATCTGAGTGCTAACCCACCAAAAACAATTGAATGCTTTTCATTCTTCAAAGTCCAACTAAGCTTTCCCTTCCCGGACTCTATACAGCAGGACAAGATCACTCACTCCTCTGAACTACTTCTAATTTGTACCAGTCATGTGGTATATATGGAATATATTAACATGCTATCTTTTCACATGCCTATGTTTCCTGTCTATATTGTAAACTTTCACACGTTTATATTGTAAACTTCTCAAAAGTAAGACCTACATTTTATGTTCATTACATGTCAACAACTAGCAGAGTACCTCATATATAAGATACTCAAATACTTGGTGTAGATTTTTTCAATCTTTGTATTTCTAACCCGAGCACCTAGAATAGTGCCTAGAACTTTAATAATATTAATTATTAATTAGGTCAATGTCAATTTATTAATATTAATTTATATGCAAGATTTCAAATTATTAGGTATTTTTAATCATTTCAAAAATTCTAATACCAGTGTTGCCACTAGAGGAGCTCCAAGGTTTATTTCCAGGGCTAAAATTACAATTGTGCAGTAAGTTGTAAGTACTCTCTTTACACAAATAAAAATAAGTACATCTTAAAATAATCCTTTCGTGGAAGAGATTTCTTTCAAATAAGACCAAGTAAAAACTGACCTGTCCCAATCTACTTGATCAGGCTTAATCCCCTTGACTAGGTCAAACAAAACTAAAATAATGGGCCAGAGAGTATTAGGAGAATATGCTCAGTTCCAAGAAGTATCTGGGGTGAGGAGGAGGCTATTCTGGGGATGACTAGTAGATGGGAACAGCCTACTTTCTTCTTTCAGATAAAGCAGGGTTAACAGCACTGCTTCTCTGTTGCCTTGTCCCATAGGTTGAAGGGATAAAATCACCCTATGGCTTGTTTATCCATTAACTTCTTGTCTACACTGCTTAATTCTAGCCCTGTCACTTTATCCTAGCCAAGTTAGTCTCTTCCTCCTGCTTCTATGTTTACTGCCTCAGCGAGCACTCTCACACCAGAAAAGCTGTAAAATCTTTTTGAAATGAACTCTGTGAAAACATCATCACTATTATCAATTCAAGATATCTAAGACACACATACACATGTAACTTCAAAGAAGCCATGAGGAAATAGTATGAACTAAAGGAAGCCCATTTTGAAAATGTCTTGTGTTTTAACATTATTACTTAATGACCATCCTTTTGTAACCTCTACTGTGTTCTATTGCATTGCAAGTTATCCTGTTCCCCAAAGGAAAGAAAGACAAGCAGCGACACCTACCTCTGTTTCTTTTTCTTCAATAATATTTACAAGTCCCAAAAATATATTTTGTAATTTGATCAAAAATGGTTCTGGATAAATTGCCCAATCTTCCCATGCTCTGAAGCAGGTCATTACTCGTTGCTTAAAAAAAATAAAAACAAAAGGAAACCACTAGTCATCTATCAAGAAAGTTAAAAAGTAAAGCTGGTACAGTTAAATTGTGGCCTCAGTCTCTTAAAACCCAACCAAAAAATGCAATGCGTCCTCCTGTCCACCCGCCTCCAGATTCTAAATTCCCAGATTCTTTAGTTCTGAATGTCAATGATTTGGATCAAAGATAATGGATTGTTGAAAAACAAATGAAAATGTAACAAAGAATTCATTATTTAAAAAAATTAAAATAACTGAAAATATTTAGAACTACAATAAACTAGGTATAAAGTCATTTGAAGCCCCTCAAGAATTATTGGGATGCCTTTATTAACCTTAAAGGTAACTCATACAGTGAGATATTCCCTAAGAATAAGGCTATTTAATTTCAATAGTGTCTAATGAAGTGAAGTATCAAAAGGAATCTGGCAGAGTTACCCCCATCAAGAGTCACTTCACTAAAAGTAGAAATATATGATAAATTCTATCAATATGATCTCTCCTGAGATCATCTCTAAGGTGGCAGATCCCCAGTCATCTCCCTTCAATAACCAAATTTTCTAAAAGATGTAGTTTCTAAGAAGCATTAAAAATTATCTTTTATTGCTTTTCCTTAAAGCTGTCGTGCATAACTGATAGATACAATGTATCATTATCACTAACAGCTTTACAGCACTTTAAGGTTTGCATGGGACTTTACATATGTTAACTTTGACTCAAGGTAGGTGCTAATATTATCCCCATGTTCCACATAAGTAATTTGCCTGTAGTTAAACAAACTAATAAATGTCTAGAGGCAGGATGTGAACCATATTCCTAGTCCCTTTCACTCCACTGCCACCTAACCCAAAGACATAAAAAATGTTTCATTTATGTGATAACTGGCTTATTCAATTCTGTATCTCTACCCTTATACCACTGTGCTACAGTGACAGATTTTACACAATTAAAAGAAGCAAAATTTGAAAAGTCAGCCATTTGGTATATGTCCTTACAAAGTGAGTGGCCTTGCGGGCAGCTAAGTGGCACAGTAGAGAGAGCCCCAGCTCTGGAGTGAGGAGGTCCTGAGTTCAAATACGGCCTCAGACACTTGAAACTTACTAGCGGTGTGACCCTGGGCAAGTTACTTAATCCCGACTACCTCACCAAAAAGCAAAAACAAAGACAGAAACAAAGAAAGTAAGTGGTCTTAACAAGCTTTTTAACAAATATCTGGGATGTAGTGGTATAGGGTACAGTTTGGTTTTTTTTACTCAAGATAATTAAGCCAAAAAATAAACATTTAAGAGCAATTAGGCAAAGTTAGCCAATGCATTTTTTTTTGGCTGAGGCAATTGGGGTTAAGTGACTTGCCCAGAGTCACACAGCTAGTGAGTGTCAAGTGTTTTGGTCTAAGGCTGGATTTGAACTCAGGTCCTCCTGACTCCAGGATCAGTGCCCTACCCATTGTGCCACCTAGCTGCCCCCTCAATGTATTTTTAATTAATTTTTGCCACCAAAAATGGCATAATGCTAAAAACAAAGATATTGTGAGATGTTCAGATTTTTAAGGTTCTATCAAAATTGCTGGGACTTTTAAAAAATACATACAACAAGATGCAGAATTTATACACATACCTTGAAGTTTTCAGATTGTAAGTGACCTTGAATTGTACGGTAGGTGGCGTTGAGGTCTGAAAATATCTGACACAACTTTGTTTCAAAACTGTAATTCAAATAATATTATTTTAAAACTCTAACAAAAATTGTCATAAAATACAATTGTTTCTCCATCCTTGTTAGTGAGTACTCATCTCTATTCTTAAATGCTTAAAAACCAAGAATTAGTTGCTAAATTATACAAGCAACAACTGTGCAATTTTAAAGGACTGGCAATATTCTGAATTTCTGCTAAAGAGTCACCTCCTTAGTACCATATTTTAATCTATGAAACCCTTTCATAGACATTACTTCTACGATTCCTACAATTCAAGTCACTGGACTCAGTGAAGCTTGGTCTCCCAAAGCACAACTGTGGATAAGACTATAAACAATTCTTTATTATTCCCATTTTACAAATAAGGAAACTGAGGCTCAGAAAGTTTAAATTATCAGCTCAAAGTCACACAGCTCAGAAAGTAGGAAATTCAGAACTAGGACACAAATTTTCTGATTTCTAGTTCAATGCTCCTTCCACTATACCACAAAATCTTAGAAGCGCAGCTTAATTCTTTAATTAATGAAACAGTGAACTAAAATTCAGTAATTAACACTGCCTTCAGTCCCAAGGGAGCAATGTTCCTAGACTATATGAAGAGAAAATCAATAGTCTAAATTTTTAAAGTAGTTTTTAAAAAACAAAAGTTTTATTTTCATAAGAGAAATAGGAAAATATTTCTAAAACCTGCCTTATTTGATTCAGTGGGAAAGGAAGACCAAAAGAGTGGGGAATAAAAAGGATAGGGGATCTGGGGACAGAGGAACCCTTGGCAGTCCACTCTGGGTCTGAAGTTTACTGATGAGTAAAATCAAGTGGCTGGACCAGAAGATCAGCTGGCTATTACAGCTTCAAATCCTATCAGATATCCACCAACATAAATAAGTGGAAGCTACAAAAACAAAATCTAAAAGACTTATTTAATTGTAACTTATTTTAATGACAACAACTGTCTTATAGATCTTAGAAGTCTGGAAGCCAGACAGAACAGTAAGTATTACAACCAATTAAATCCAGAATAAGTGCCAGAGCAATGGTATTTTTCAAAATAATGCCCTAAGTGTTTCTAATTCCCTATTTATGAAACTTCATGAAATTTAAATGATTTCTAGCATGGGGGTGGAGTTAAATATTTTTGGTTATTTAAAATATACCTTTTGTAGAGCTCAAATTAAATTAAGTTCATATCTTTTATTTTAAAATTACAGGTATAAAATATTATACTTACAATTTTCTATAATATGAAGCATTGGCAACTTTTGCTGAAGAGTTATATAATACATCAGAAACCAAATATAATCTGGCAATCTGTAACATAAAATAAAAATGATATACAGTTATGACCATAAAGCCAACAACAAATCTGTTAACAGGACATGATGATTTTTCCATAAAACAGTGACAAGGAATAACAGGGATAATCATGCTTACCTTCAAGTAATCTGTCATCAATATAAAAACATGCTCACTACAATTATTTCTTTAGCAGAAATGTAAATTATGTTTAAATTTCATTGCACATGGTTTTCCAATCTAACATATAAAAGAAAAACTCCCTGCTCATAATTTATGGAAAACATGAAATGGTTTTCTTGGGAGAAATAAATTCACAGAATATAACTTACTCAATCACAAAATACTTCGTGTAATAAAGAGCTAAAAAGCATTTAGATCTGACATAAGGTCATTTCTATTTCACCACCTATTTAAAAGCTCAAGAAAAATGTCTACATACCTTTTTAGGCAGTGGTGTTTTCAAGATGGACAATGACTCCGTAATACAATCCACTATTTCTTCAGCAGCTTCAGCATTATTAAGACAGAAAACCATTGCATCACCAATATCATTTTTCCGAGGAGTTAATCCACGTAAGATTTCTTCTAATTTATCTCTCTGCCTAAAATAAATTTTTTTTTGGCAAACTGTAAATACTTTGGGTTCCACAGAAGAGCAAGATTCTTGAGGGCAGGGGCTATTTTTTCTTTTCTTTGTACCTCCAGCACTTAGCACAATGTCTGGCACATAATAGGTGCTTAATAAACATTTCTTTACTTGACTCCAAATGCCAGAAACTTTCATATAACTTGACTGCAAATGCCAAAAACTTTCATATAACTTAATCTACCTTGCAAACATTAAAAAGTCACTTAAAGGGGCACAGTGCCACCTTAGAGCTCCAGCCTTGGCGTTAGGAGGACCAGAGTTCAAATCTGACCTCAGATACTTGACACTTACTAGTTTGTGACCTTGGGCAAGTCACTTAACCCCCACTGTCTCACCAAAAAGCAAAAAAAAAAAAAAAGTCCCTTAGATAGCATCACTACATATTTCATCACTAAGTAAGTATTTTAACACTTCTAATACACAAGTTTTAGTAAAAATGTGAAGAATGATACTACCTGATATATGTACTTCCTAGATAAAAGCAACAGTCATTACTGTTAAAGCAAAAAATAATTTACTAACCCTCTTGAAAACCAGCTCCCTCCCAGAATCCCCACTACAAGGCACCAGAGAAGCATGGACAGGAGTCAGTTCTCTCTCTTTTCTTTCCTTCCTATGTATGATCTACATTACTTGTGTCTTGTTTCAGCATTGCTCCCTTTGGCATGACTAAAGCAGGCAAACCAACGGGAGATAAGAAGTACATCTGAATAAGCAAACATGCCCAATTAAAAACTGATTCACCAATACCAAGCTCAGAGTTACAGATTAAGCAATAAAGAATAGCCCCCCTCTTTCCATCTGGTTGGCAGATCTCCCTGGATGTCTAATCGACAGCAGTAAAGCCTTGGGGCACATTATTTCACCTCTGAGTCTCAATGTCCTCCCCTGTAAAATAAGAGGGACAGGCTATCTTTTAGCTTTAAAATCCTATGATCTCAAGGGCCACCCTCCACTTCTCAAAACAAAGACTCAGTAGAATTTTTCAGTACACCATTTCTTGCTCATCCCTACTAAAGCAATTCCTCCTAATCCTGCGAGTTTTATAGAAGACAGCAAAAGTTTCTAACAAGCAATCAGAACTTGGACATGAACCTGAAGCAGGTCTGCAAAAGAAAAGTCCAAGGACTTAGAGCCTGACAAGTGATAGCATGACTAATGGCTTATAGAAAACTGTGAAAATTGCTTGTTCCCCAACCAAGACCCTTTGGTACCCCCCCCCCCCGCATGAAAAGGCATTTTCTAACTGATAAACAACAGGGCAGACTGGGCTGATACAACAAGGGAGAAAAAAGAATGACAGCAAAAGCTTTATGGCCACTGTGCCAAGAAGCTTGGTTCTTGGAGGAAAGGGAAAGGGCAAAGATACTACAAAATGTGTTGTTAGCTGCCTTATGCCTTAAAATGCCTGTGTGATAAAGAGGGCAGACTAATTCCCAGTTGGTTGGGTCTCACAGACAGAGAGGCTTTGACGGGTACTGAGAGAACACAGGACCATACAGTCTGTGACTGGAAGGGAAGGATCACAGGTCAATCTAGTCCAACCCTTTCGTTTTACAAGTGAGGAAGCTGAGCGATTTGCCCAGGCACAATGGAAAATCATGGAAGAGGTGAGACTTGAACTCCCAATTCAGCCTTGTCCACACTGTATCAGCCGCTGCTCTTACGAAGCAACCAGTGTAGAAGCAAAGCCAACTGGGCACAGCTACACTTTCTAATGTGGTCATGACCAATTCCAGAAAATCCTGGACTCAGAGTTTGGTGCAAGGCCTCAGTGGCTGTGATATTCTCAGCCACAGTGATGATCAGTTAAATTGTAGTAAGAACATAAATTTAGTAAAACAATGAAGAACAGAAGACAGTGAGCTGGATCTGAAGTCAGAGAACCAGGATTCAAGTCTTGACTCCGACTTGGCTAGGTCTGCTTCTAGTCACATTCCTTCCCTGGTCTCAATTTCCTAATCTATAAAATAAGGGGCTTGTACTAACTAGATGGTTCCTCAGGTCCTTTCCACCTCTAGATCCATGATCTGACAAATGTATCAGTGCGGAATCCCTTGTTCAAGGACTAAAATATAATTCATCAACTCTTTTCTGGAATGTATATTCTGCCTTGTATTAATTACTTGTGGCAGTGACCTCCATCTTAATCAGCATCTCTGTTATAAGCCACATAGTTTTAGAGACAGAGGAGACCTGAAGTTATTTGGTATAATCCTTTTTTTTTTTTAAAGATAAGGTAACTTTCTGAAGATTTAATGATCCATACCACAGATCTATACCACACACAGTGGCAGAGCCGGGATTTAAACCCAGATCTTCTGACTCTTAAACCAACACTCGTTCCATGGCACCATGCTGCATTCAACTAAAATGTATTGAATTGAAGAACATTTATCACAGAAGCAATAGAGGCCAATGGCAAACATTACTTAGCTGAGTAGAGGAATAGTGGTGAATGGGTAGTTTTCATTGCTCTTTCCTGGAACCTCAAATTAAAACACCACAATTTTAAGATATTAATATTCTTGGCTGGGGGCAAAACTGTTCCAAGACTGAAAAGGAGGGGGGAAGCTTACTCTTCTTTCAGTGCTCCTTTCTTGCTAGGTTCCTCAACAAAAGCTTCAGTTTCTTGCTCTTCTGACATCCCATGCAGGTATGGATTTAACGGTGGTGGCCTCCAAAAAGATCCATTTTTGAACATACGAAAATCTTCTGTTCTCCACTTAGTTGGAGCATCTCCCTAAAAAGCACCAAAATATAGGACAATTAGGTCTAACTTTACATACAGTCAAAACTAAAGCGGAAGTAAGTTCTACTTGCCTGTAGAATTGAATAAAGCTTCCATCTATAGTAAACATGGGCTGGAGTCTGGTTTTCAAATAAAAACCTGAAAAAAACAACAAATACACAGTTTAAATTTCCAACTGAATGATTTGACTATTCTTCCCAAATAAATATTACACAAGTCAGATATATTTCATTTGGCTACTGTAAAGATACCATGAATAGGACCTGACACAGAATGCCAAAGAGGTAATTTTTTCCCCCTCTAGCCTGATCTCACTATCTTACCAAACATACTCATCATAGGTATAAATGCATTCTTCACAGAGGAATAAATTTTAATTTAGCCATACCAATCACCATATTCTCAAACATGCATTCTAAACTAATTCTAATGAATCAAATCAAGCTACTGAAAGCATCTCCGCAACAAGTCATATCTTATCTGGTGACTGTTACTATTTACATGTAATCTTTAAAAATGCACCATATGGAAATCAAATTGTTAAAGGACCACGGATTAGAAGCTAGGAGAGTTCTGAAGGGTCATCTAATTCTACTCCCTCATATTACAGATGATGAAACTAAGGAACAGAGACGTTACTTAACTTGCCCAAGGCCACACAGGTAGTAAGAATGGGGACTTACACCCAGGTGCTGGAACTCATAGTCAACATTCTTTCAAGTGAACTACACTGCCTAACAAGTAATACCTTGCCATTTTTTTTTCCTCCCAAGGCTATTTCAAGACACAATGGAGGGGACCCACTCTTTGCTCCCTCCTTTTAATAACCATGTCAGAGGTATTTATCCTATCATAACTCATTACTTACAAAGACTTTACTCTGAGTCTAAGGTTCTTCACCTGGGGCATGTGAATTTTTTTATTTTGTTAAGTGTTATTTCAGTTTAACTGGTTTCTCTGGTAATCCTATGTATTTTATTTTATACACAGCAAACGTTCAGAAGTACATATAAGCCTCCCCTGACCACGAGATGGGTCGATGACACAATTAAAGTCAAGAACCCCTGCTCTGAATCAAAACAACAGCCATGCGATGGAAACTTAGGTTTTATCATTTAGCTGTGACATAACGAAGCTGCTTAACTCACTCATCAGTACCAAACACAAAAATAGCAAATATATCCTATTCTCCTATCTACCAAAATCTCCCTTTTCCTATTTTAAAAACACACTTTTGAAACTTAAATTTCAACAATTAAACAATGAAGGACAATATGTTAATATAGATAGCATACACCCACCTGAACATAGGATTGTTGATTTCTCTATTCATAATCATGGCTTCAAACATTGGTCCTTCACGTACAACAAATTCTATCATTCGATGTATCAGTGCGAGCAAATTCCTATAACAACAACACAGTTAAAGAAAAATGGATTCAGACCTACCACTATATAAAACTATACTTCACCTAAGTTACTTTAATTGTGCAGGAAACGATTATTTTGCTGACTAATACAGAATTTTATACCAAGTAAAAGTAATTTGGAGCAAATGTTAATGCTTTGCATTATGGGGAGAAGGGAAGGGCATGGTAAGGGGAGGGGAGGGAAACCACAACACATCCTGATAATATTAAAGAGTAAATTTTCTGAAATGTCACTCCTAGTTTTCAAAACTTAACTCAAAAGGTTACTATGAATCAGGGACTAAAAAGGAGGAGTACTGATCATGTATAAAAATTGGAAACTGAAAACATACAGGCTATCTTACTAATTTTTCAAGAAAGTATTACTAAACTAATATCAGACAATGCAAAAAGCAAATGTTAACTTTTGTAGATACTATCATATATGGGTACAATCTACTAAAAAATGTTAACTTTCGTAGATACTATCATATATGGGTACAATTTACTAAAAATTGAAAATTACCAGGTAAATAAGTATACGGTCAGATTTAATAAGAAGTCCATCTAATTTCCATGCTACAGAAATTTAAAAAAAAAAAACATTTATGAGCTCTACAGACCATTGTAGAAGTAGGCATACACTTTTCCGGTTCATACAAACGAGATGGAATTTTTATTGAATCTGACCTTTAAAGAGGCAACATCCCTTTGGTCAACAATACAAATAATATACATTTGTGAAATGAATGGAAAATTCTCCACTTTGTAGATTAGAGGCTTCCAGCTTCAAAATAGTTTATGGGTAATAAAGTCTTAAATGAAGGCTATTCCCCACTCTACTCAAAATACTGCTAAAAGTAGAAAAATATAAGGAGCTTTTCCCAGGTTACATAATTTTAATGTTGCAGTATTTGGGCTAAATTTCAAAGTATTATAGCAGTCTCTTTGCCTCTAAGTCTGTTAGTCAAGTTTGAAGAAGAATTTTACTTCTTAAGAATCTGACAACGGGTCCTAAGATTGCCAGATACATCTCAATTTACATTTAGAGATTTTTTAAAAAGTAACAGAATGTAAAATTAAGTGAAATGAACTCAAGATGTCTCCTGACCAAAGCATTAACAAATACAAATTGGGAAAAGCAAAAGGATATTGGCTCTTGGCAAACTGCACAGACATAATTTATTTACCCTATTAGCACTGCCAGAACACGTTCTCATATCTGCTACAACACATATTTTTAAATGCATGGTTACTTTAGAAAATATCAATTTATATGGCTTTATATCATTACCCTGCTTCAGAATACGTAATTATAACCACCAAGAGATTAAATTTTATTGCTTAATTTCTCACATTTCTCAAAACAAACCTACTTAACTGGACACTAAAATATCTACAAAAGTGAAAAAAATTAATTTAAGACTAAAAGGAAAAAATTTCTAATCTATAAAAGATTTAAAACTAGGAAAAGGGTTGACTACCTAGATTTTTAACTGTTACTACAATGTGTTGGCTTTCATAATTAAAACAAATAACCCAAAGTATCTCTTAGGCTGATAACATAGCCTAGAAGTTATTTTTCTACACAGAAGTATTTATTTCTTTACAAGAACAAAAACCCTGCAAGAACATGTAGTTCTAAGTTCAAATACTGAGAATATTCTTCATATTCACATAGTTTGTGGTATTCTTTTGGGCAGGGGTAGTAGAAGGAAATGATAATGAAATCATAATTCAATTTCTAAGGTCCTGCTAGTGTCAACCATCTTAAATATATGGGAAATATGATTCCCACCATCAAATGTTCAAATGTAGTCTACACATCCAGAAAACTCATGTAGATTAAATTAAAAAAAAACTTTTAAGTTAAACACTGGCAAATCCAGTATCCTAAGTGGACACTGGTTTATTAATTTTAAACTAGGGGTTTATACTAAGTGAGTCTTGAGACTTTTTCACCAAAACTATACTCAACCAATTAGATTTTTTAAAAAGAAATAAACTAAGCCATACACAAAGATACTCCTCTCCATAAGCTTTTTGAAATGCTATAAAAAGCAAAAAGACCTCTCTCTTTGAATGCTAAATAACATGAAAAACTATAATTTCAAATAGGCTTGTAACTTTGATAAATATGTAAACATTCATGATCAAAAATTTAAATTGCTTTCAATAATTTAATTAATATGACTTTTTTAAAAAAAACACCCTAAATCTGACAATAAGCTCCTTCTGGCACTTGCCTAAATTTTTGCTTATTAAAACAATTTTACTCAAACTCCTTGCCCTACAAGTTGTGTTTTTTGAAAAACTGTTGCTCTTATTATTTTTAAAAAAGGGACTGTTTTACAATAGAATGAAAACAGTGTAGTACAAAAAGATGATAGTTTAAAGTGCATTATTTAAAAATGTCAATTATCTTACTCTGGGCAACAAAAAAATAAAAATGTCTCTCAGTTATAATAAAACCACATTTATTGGAGTCGATCGTACCAATGTCTGGTCAAAAACTGTATACTTTCCCAATCCATCCCATGATGTTTTCCTGGTCCCCCGCTGCCGCAGACAGTTCAGCTGGTGTTGCTCACCAAGGCCAATGTCAAAGAGAATTTGGTATTCTTTTGTGTTCATTTATTATCCAACCAGTGTTGTGTAACTGTGTTTGGGAAAAGGCTTAGCTTGACTGAGCAAGAGCATACCTAGAGAAACACCTCTGCTTTTAAACACTATCCTTATTAAGAGAAAAGGGGGAAAAAAAGAAAAACAAAGAAACTCAACTACCTTCAAAGCGAAGAATTGCTGCCCCTGTGCAGTGTTCAAGAATATGAGATTTTTTTTAAAAAATCATTTAAAGATCTACAAAACAAATCTATTAACTCTATCAAGTTCTTCTCAACCAAGACTGCACATTAAATGCATATAATTGGAAGAATTACATAAAGTTATAGCACATGAGGTAGAAACATAACACAATCTAAAGCATCCACAGTATGCAAAAAGCCCATTAAAGATTTAGTCTCCATACCATTTGGCCATCATTTTCAAATGAAAATAACCACATCCTACTCTACAAAAACTATAGTTCTGTATACTATACTAAAAAGGTAGAAAAGTAGTGACACAAAATTGCAAAGCATAAATTATGAATTAGTAAAATTCCCAATTCCCCCCATAAGTAAGAAGAAGGAACCATTGCTCAGTCAAGCCATTACCTTTTCCTCAACACCATTTTTTTAATTCAGAAGGGGATATTTTCTATATTTAGATCAGTAATAATAAAGAAAAACATGTACCTTTCTGTTGGGATAACCACTTTGACTATGGCTTGCGACAGAGTCTGTATATGAAGTCACATCAGATAATAAACATAGAATATGTGAGTATTGTTAACAAGTAACAAGCAAAAATATACATATGCATTGAAAATACTACACATCTAATCATAAGTTTTGCAGGCAATCACTGCTGTGAAGTTATATACTAAGCAATTACATATATGCAAATGGATGTGTTCAGTGAACCATGAATGTTCACTAAATGCCAAGAATCAGAACATTCCTGCCAGAATGCACATCAATGCCCGGAATCGGTACTACACTGAGAAGTCTAAGATAAGGATTTTAATTTGTGAAATCATTAACTGTTTGCCTTGGACCGTACAAGTTTACTACTTTGTTCCCAAGCCTTTAAAACCAGCCCTGTCATTTTAAGTGTAATTCATTAAAGAACCAACAAATTCTTATAACTGTAAATTAAGTTGGTTTTATGTTTATAAAAAAAGTAAAGAATACTCACCCTTTAGTATGTTTTTACTACAGTTAGTTGCTTTAACAAACCACACATACCCTAAAAATATTCTGACACCTAGTTGGTCCTTAAATATTACGTCAGCTAGTTGCCATCTAAACAAATCAACTATTTAGGAGGTCATTCTAATTGAAAACTAAGCCAACTGATTACAAAGTAGAAGTTTCTTAAAACAAAATAAATTTAAATACTGCAAAACTAGCACCTAAATAATAAACCTGAAACAATAAGAAATAAGGAGGGAGAAAAAAATAACTGAAAATTGGAAAAGTATAACTAGATTTAAAGGAGTGACAGTAACAAAGTATGGCCTCATATTCCTGAGGCCTCATTTCAATACTGGGGTTTCATGGGCTAAGGCAGGGAACAGACTATATGTATCTTTAAGGGTTACCAAACAGATAAGCACACACAATTCTATAAAATTGTAGAAAAGAAAAACTACCATAAGATTTAGTATTTACAAATTAGATGCGGCCCTATGTACATTTTTAAAATTACCTTCTCAAAATCCTCCTTGCTTTTAGGTGGAGGTAACATTGGAGCATTGGGGTTCTTTAATCTCTCTCTAGGCTGAGCATTGAAAGGCAGGCCGGATGGTGGGGGAGGAAGAGTGTGTTCCATCATAGAAGGTGGAATGTATATTGGATGTGGTGGAATAGGTACAGCTTTACCCCACCCTAGTTTCATTTCAAAGGACATGATCATCTTTCCTACAATAAAGAAAAAGTTACTTCACTAAATATTTGGCTTATAAACAAAACCAAATATTTTAAATTGCGTTTGAATTTTTTTTAAGTTTATTTTTAAATTTCAAAACTACATTTCAAACAGTGAAAAAGTTCTAAGGCTTCTGGACAGATTAGTGCTACTTACCATTTAGATTTTTCAAAGCTCTCTCAGCATCTCTTCTATTCATAAAGGCCACAAAACCACAATTCCTTTCTCTTGCTCTTTCCTCATCTGTTCTTGGCCACATAATTTTGACACTGGCTAATGGTCCAAACCTCCCAAATTCTTGGCATAACATTTCTTCATTCATCTAAAAAAGATCAACATATTGATTAGAGAAATGCAAATCAAAACAACTCTGAGGTACCACATCACACCTATCAGATTGGCTAACATGACAAGACAGGAAAATGATAAATGTTGGAAAAGATGTGGGAAAATTGGAACACTAATGCATTGTTGGTGGAGCTCTGAACTGATCCAACCATTCTGGAGAGCAATTTGGAACTATGTCCAAAGGCCTATAAAACTATGCATACTCTTTGACCCAGCAATACCACTTCTAGGCCTGTATCCCAAAGAGATCATAAAAATGGGAAAAATATCCACATGTACAAAAATATTTATAACAGTTCTTTTCGTGGTGGTAAGGAATTGGAAATTGAGGGGATGCCCATCAATTGGGGAATGACTGAACAAGTTGTGGTATATGAATGTAATGGAATACTACTGTGCTATAAGAAATGATGAGCAGGCGGACTTCAGGAAAACCTGGAAAGACATATGAACTGATGCTTGGTGAAATGAGCAGAACTAGGAGAGCATACATACTGTTATACATATGTATGTGACATACTGTACATAGTAACAGCCACACTGTGTGATGACTGACTGATAGACTTGGCTCCTTTCAGCAATGGAAGGATCTAAGACAACTCCAAAAGACTCATGATTGAAAATGCTATCCACACCCAGAGAAAGAACTTTGGAGTCTGACTGAAGATGGAAGTACACTATTTGCTCTCCTTTTCTTTTATTGCTTTGTTTTGTTTCTTCTTTCTCGTGGTTCCTCCCATTGGTTCTAATTCTTCTTTATATCATGAGTAATGTGAAAATATGTTTAATATGAATGTATAAGTAGAGCCTATATCAGACTGCACGTATTCTTGGGGAGGGGGGAGAGGGAGAAAATTTAAAACTCAAAATCTTTATGGAAGTGAATGCTGAAAACTAAAAATAAATTATTTAAAATAATAAAAAATTAAAAAGATAAATACACATTTTTACTCAAATAAAAACTCATTAGTTCATACTTATGAATTTTTAAAATACAATTTGTAATTTGCTTTGAATGGGCTAAATTCTGTTACAAGGAACCTTCAAGGGGCACTGAAACAATTTCATCATGAAGGAATTTTGTTAGTGAACTATTAAAAATCATATTCTCAATCTGTAAGATCACAATATAGTTATAGTGGGGAAAAAGTCAACAGCATTTATACAATAAAGGCAAGAAAGAAAGCCCAAAGCAAACTATTTTTTACTCATATTTATTTATTCCTTCATCCTTACGTACTTTCCTCCTTTCAAACTTCTGGAGGAGGAAGTTATTTTATTGTAGAAGATGCCTTAGGAATTAAAGCTGTATTTTTATGGTAGAGCTATTTAAGGTGGAAAGGAAAACAGAAGGATACTTAGAAAGGGGACCTTAGAAAAACCTCACATTTTTTTTTCTTTTCACAAATTAACTCTTAAAATATGGACACCAACAGAGAAAAGGAAAGTGACAAGCATACTATAAGAGGCAAAATTTACAAAATATCCCTCACTCCTTCTCTAAAACTGAAAAGTAAGGGTCAGTCATATGATAGAGCTAGTTGGACAAGACAAAACAATCAGCCAAATAACGAGCTAACAAGTTGAGTCACAGTGGAGTTCAGTCATAATGTTACAATGATATCACTGTGAAATAATCTTAAGATATAGAATATAGCTGCAGTGTTTCCAATTCCAAATTAATGATCTGCTTATTAGAGCAATATTTAATACAATAAATGAATATGGGCACCCTTGGAATTTGCAATTATTTACTGATATCCATTCAATTACATGTTACAGACAAGATTCAAGATCTTCTTATAGTGTTTGTTATAGAAAGTTGCATAGATAGAAGAAAACATGCTACAGTGGATTACTTCTTGAGACTCAAAGAATAAATCACTATTACTAGAGGGAATAGGCAATGACTTATAAAATATCTTTTCTCTTTAATAAAGAAGTTCTTCAAACAAATATCAATGAAAACCTATTAGAAAAGCTGCTGTTGCTTATCCTTCCTTTTCAAAGAGGACCAATGATTTCACTATGCCCATATTAAAAACTGATTTGTCTCACTATCTGAAGGGCATTATGGATTTCTACAGGATCATCTGATAATTACAAATTCTTTAAGCACATATTTCAATGATACTCTACAGTATGGAAGTTAATTGCCTCAAAGGTTATCAATCTACTTTTTTAAGCTGTTTTCTTTCAAAAAAGAATTAAGAAGTAATATTCCACTTAGATTTATATTATTACCTGTGGATTAATGTTTCCAAGGTATAAATTTGTAGTACTTGGATCCCCCACATCATGCGAGCCAGGTGCATAGTCATCAAGGACTAGAACAAAAAAGAAAAAGGATTGTAACCCTCAGAATAAAAACACTGTTCAGAATTTGGACCATGCTAAAGAGCAAGAAACTGTATTACCACCAGATGATCTATTTCTTCGGGAAGGCGCGTCCACTAAAAAAAAAAAAAGCAAAATAAGACATCCTTACCTTTGACTGCTTTATTTTATCAAAGACACTTATTAAAATAAATTTTACTTACTAGAACGACGCTGACCATCTGAATCTGACTGAGGGGGTTCAAAACGACTTAGCCTGCCTTTTGTTTTATGTCTTTCATCACGTTCTTCTTGAATTCTGTTGAAAATATTTTAAATGACTAGCAATGAGTCAAGAAATGTGATCCTAGTAATTATGAGTAAAAAAATTATTCATCTACCATATTCAAATAACGTGATTTTTATTACTTTCATGTTGGCAGTCATTACTTTTAAGAACAAAAGAACTTGATTACAAACTATAGCTGCCATATAAGATAATTGAGTCCTTTAGTTATGTACAAAGGCAACTTATGTCCATTATACTACTAATATCAAGCCTGAAACAGAAGAAATTATTTTTAAAGCATGGTGAGGAAACTAAAAGTTACAATTATCTAGAATGTACTGGGTCCTCTTCTATTTTTTTCCCTCAAGAGGAAAACATTTTTCCACTGCAAACAGGACTCCGGCCATTAGGTAAAGCATTTTAATTCAACTCACATATGGGAAATTACCAAGAGGTATGACTGTGAATTTTATTATAAGTTCATTTTCAAACCTTGCCCCACAAAACATAATCATAAAATCTTAACTTAAAAGAAAAAAATCCTGACAGAATATTTGGTAATTATGGGTCTTTTCTTATATTCTCAATCAACTATTCAATATACCTATGATAGTTATTCTCCACACTGTAAAACTTACTGTTTTAGTTCTTCTTTGAAGAGTTCCAAATTGCTCTTTTTCTTTTCTTTCTCCCCTTTCTTCAGTGGCTATGAAGGATATGACAGGTTATGCTTCAGAAAATGGAAGGTTTAACAAAACGAATGATTCAATAATTACACCATTTCTAAACCATATTTACCTCTCGGCCATTGATTTCTTTAATGTCACTCACTAATGAGAGGATGCTGGTAAAAATAAAGCTTATCATCATACTGTCAAATATCTTGTATGTAAAAAAACCCCCATAATTTTGGCACTATTCTTAAAATAACAGGGTAAAAGAAAAAATTTAGCCCAATACACCTGAAGAATTATTTTAAGAAACATACCAAAACTCATACATCTACATAAGTATTGTGATCCAAAGCAGTCATTTTGGAAGATTATACACTTATCCAAAAGATACTGCTTATCCAAAAGATACTGCTTAATACAGTTTTGTATCACCTCTTAGAATTGCCTTCAAAGCCAGGTTAGAAGGTAAAAAAAAAAAGCACCAAAATATAAGACCAAAAATCAATCTCATTATTTTATCCTAGTATCTTCTTCTTGATCAAAAATATATTTATACCCTGTTTGATCATTCCATTTATTCGCTGGACTTGCCTCCAGGCGACTTTTGGCTCTTTCCAAAACTCAATCCACCCTCAAAAGCATAAAGAAATGCTACTAATGCATATATTCAAAAGAATGTGTCACAGGCTCTGAAGAATATCCCATATGAGGAATCCCCAAAACATTATGAACAATGAGAACTATTAGAATAAGTGTATTATTTCCCCTAACTTGACTTCAAAGGGCACAATGCTCATTTATATGTAAAACATCTGGTAAGTTTGCTTAAAATATAGTCACTAACTTGTGGGTATATCCTAAGCTGCAACCAAGCATTCTTAACATATACTAACTGAAGCCCCAACTACTGGGTTAGTATCAAGTGTGTGAACATTAAATAAAATGCAAATTCTTATGCCATAGCAGTATACTTAAAGGAAGCAAAAGTACAAACTGTTCACTACTTAAAGCCTGTCAGTGGTCATATGCCACATGCTAATATTATAATATTCTGAATGTGAATGCTACTGGGTTAGAAAACGCCAAAACTCACCACCTCCAAAAAAATACCAAAGTCCTGCTTACAGTGGAAGTACAGAAAGTTGTCTCAGCAAGGTCATCCACACAGACATGAAAGATCAGTGATTCTGAGTATGACTTACAGGTTTTTTGGTTTCTATCACAAGAAGGGATGGTGGTCTTTCATTGGAGGACTGATTTGGTGCATTCTTTTGATCTGCAAATCGTGAGGATGGCTTGTAGATTTTGCCTCGTTTTTCATCTGTTTCATGTTCTTCTATAATTTAAGAAATTGGGATAGCGCTTACTGTATAGTAAGTTTCAAACCCAAACCCATTTTTCAATCAACAAGCATTTGTTAAATACCAACTACATGCCAAGCACTGCACCAAGTGCTAGATATGAATTTTATTGGGCTGAGAGGACAAAAAGGCATTAGGCACACCTACCAAAAGCCAACAAAACTGGTTAAACAACTCCAGATATATACACATGTATATATGTACATGTATGTACGTGTACACACACACATACACACACACACACACACACACACACACACACACACAAAGCTTCAGTGATAGATGGTTGGGGATTTGGGGGGAGTGGAGAGATGGGGATGGAGGAGTTGAAACAAAGATGAATGACACGGTCCCTGCCTTCAAGGAATTTGCAATCTAGTAAGAAGAATAAGAGATATAAACATTAACTATAATACAAAGACATGGACGAAAGTGAACAAGAGATACCAAAAAAGTACTAGCGTCGTGGGTGAAGCAAAATAAGGAAAGCACGTGAGGAAAATGTTATTTGAAGTTCAGTAAAAAAGAATTTCAATTTGTAAAGATTTGTAAGCTGATGGACAAGAGCAGTAAAGCACTGAACATGTTTTAGAAATGGCAAATAAACCAGTATGGCTGGAGTACTTAGTTCTTGAAGGGAAACAGTGTGAGATAAGGACTAAAAGGTAGAAATCAGACTATGTTGGGGTCTTGAATGCTAACCTTAAAGATCCCAGACTCTACCAGTTTAACCACCTTAAATCTCTCTATTATGCATTTACAGAGAACTTCTGAAATGTTCAAGCCAAAAGGTACTAAAATAATAAGTGAATCATGAGGCTGTTTCCTTTTCTTACTGTCTCTACTTTGGCCATTTCCCTTCTATTATTAGCATATCCACTAAAGGGTACTAAAGGGTAGAAGGAAAATTCTAATTAGTCCATTTTCTCCATTTGTTACCTCTCCCAAAAAAATTGAAGGGAAAACTGAAATTTATGTATGAGTGAAGCCTGGGGATTATTTATGGATTTCAATGACCCCTTTTCAAAACTGCAAAGAATGATGTAAAGTTAGCAGGATCATACCATGTGTTCCTTTCAATGTCATACTTGGAAATAAGTCTGAAATTACTGCTGATCCATTAATTTAAAACAATATACAGGAGGAGACTAAAATAAAAGTTATGGATTTCATCTCTAAAATGAAACTATACCACCTGTGAGGGAAGTAAATTTATTTTCACTAATGTCCTCTTCTGATCTCTTTTCATGGCACTGTCAGGACCCTCGGTTCTTGAAGGCTATAAACACATGCTTTGCTAAGTTATAGCAAACTTAAAAGGCTTTATATAAAGACATTCAAGGTTGGATTGTGTTTTTCATCAGAGGACCAGTCAAGAGAAGTCAAAGGAGGCTCATGAGCAATGAATGAATTTTTTTCAGCCACCTCAGTTTATTAGACTTATTTACTAAGGCATGGAGGGATTGTGATCTGGAAATCACCAGGGAAACCCCAACTCTATTAAGGACTGAAGCACATAAGTTGTCCCTTCCTGTCGTAGACTTTAAACAGGTACGTCCAAGGTCATTCTAGCTCTAACATTTAATGCTCTTACCTCTCAGAAAAATTATCTGTGTTATACAGAGAACTCTCAGATTTAATACAAAGCCAAAATATAATAATACCAAACTTTTTTTTTTAAGTAAAAGGCAATGTGGCTAGAAACTTGGAGTCAGGAAGACTTAGGCCCAAGTTCCATCCTGAGCACATACTCATGATAAGGCACATATCTGTTCTCAGTGCCCCTGGGCAACTCAAAGACCTTAAGTTGAAAATCAAGTGCTGAAAAAGCTTTCACATGCTTTAATTCTGAGCTACCTAATCAAAATCTACTATGACTGCTAAATGACTACAGCTATCATATTCACACTTACCTTTAGCAGCGTTAACCACACCACCTCTCACAAAGGTTTTCACTTTATTACCATCACTGCCTTCAAAAGCAGCCAGGAACTCTTCGTAAATCTCAGCAGCTGCCTTCTCATCCTCCTAAATAAGCAAATTTAACAATTTAGTGTATAACAGTTCAGCATGTGGCTCCCCTACTGTAGATCCCAGTAAGTCATCCAGGCATATACTCGCAGCTGAAATCTTCAATATAATGCAAAATAATGATTTCTACCCATCAACAGCTATGCAGTCAGTTACAAAAGTTATTTTAACTAAGCAAATTTCATCCTTGGGAGTAAAAGCATGCTTTCAATCACCAATGTAAACTGTTTTTCTATACCAACTAAAATCTATTTTTAGGCACGCCCCAACTGCAGCGTTTGACCTCACCACCCTTACACATATCACAGTCACAGAAGAGGTATCAGGCACAAAAGAAAAAGAGTACAAATTACCTTCTTCTTCAGTTCTTCTTGCTCTTTCTTGCTCAAAGTTCTTTTAGCTGCACTCATCTTTCCAATGCTAAAAGCTTTGAGCTTGTTTTCCAGAAGTGGCTATGCAAAGGAAAACAAGCTTAAATGTTTATGTAAACAATTACTAAAATACCTCTTTTCAGAACCAAAATCTAAGTTCCAAAGAAGGTTCCAAGCAAATGAGGCCTCCCTGCCCCACACCAGCAGATAATGCGTTCTGTGCAGGGAAAAGGACCCATGGACAGACCCAACATGCAGTGCTTCCCTCTGGTCCTTCCCTCCACCAGCCAAAAGCCAGTGGGAGGAAGAGGACGCTCAGCGAGATGCAACAGGAGGGACAGAAGAAGGACAAGAAGGAATGGTGAACTTATAAACAGGAGGGAATGAAAACAAAATTTCAACTTTAAAACCTTTTCTACGTCAATGTTTCAAATATTACAAAATAGGTTCTTCATTTTAAATCAATTTGATATTCTAGAGAGTGAACAGTAGGCAGAGTATCCTCGCCTCTTATACTTATACCTAAAAGAACTCTATAATGAAATTTTATGATAGAGTTAAAAAGAAATATGAGAACACACACAATATCCCTTAGTAGAGGTAAGGGATCCACAAGTGCTGTACATTACACATGTATTCAGTACATTTTTCAATGTATTGATCAGTTATGCTGATTTTTTTCCTTTTTTTTTGTCTTTTAAAAAATAGCATTTGCTCTGTGGGATGGCTGAGAGTATGATGTGAAAAAAATCTGTCAATAAAAACTTATTTTAAATTGTTTTTAAATTACAATTCGAAAAAACTGAAATCTCTTTCATAGCTACTTAAGATAAACTTTCCATTTAAAACACCATATATCATAAAGTGACTAAACTAACCACTTTAGCCTTTTAAAGCCAGATTCATTAAGCCATATCATTTTTATATCTCGATGAAATGTTTCAGTTACAAGGAATCAAAATACTTATCAGTAATACAAATTTTTTTACCAAGTACTGTTCTTTATTTAATCATCCAGTTATATAGTGGGCTATCTTTGCAATCATTTCCTTATCAGTAAAAAAAATTAACCAATTATTCTAGTGACTTGATATGTAAGTATCTAACATTATCGTAAATCATCTTGGAAATACTTAAATGGGTAATATAATCTGTATATTCAAAAACATGCAGAACTATCTAAATGATGTCTTTCATAAAAGATTAATCCTAGTAAAAGAACAAGATACTCTGCAACCAGTCACTATTCCTGGTTAGAAAATATTTTTTAAAAAATTTAAATTTAGATATTAAATTCTATTTTCATTTCTTGAAAAGAGAAAAAAAAATCCTTTTACTGATACATACTCTGATGCCACAAAAAGCCACAAAAATAAAATTAAAGTTAACTAGAACTTCTTATCAAGACTCCATGCATCAAGTGTATCTTTCACCACCACTGGTATAATTCTGCATCACAGATGTCAATTATATGCCACTTCACTTTATTTTCTCTTAAACTCCATTTTGTTCCATTTGTCTCCCTGGCTCATTTGTATATACTCATCCTGTGCTTGACTTTCAGCCTTTTCTAAAGCAGTGCATTCTTAAGTCTTTTCCTAATTCCCTCACCAGAAATGTAACTTCAGGTCATAGCATGAAAAGGACCTCATCAGTCATTTAACAGCTGAGGAAAACTGAGGCCCAAGTAGATTCAGGGATTAACTCAAGGTCACAAAGTCTTAAACATTCCAGGAAGCATCTAAGAGCCCAGTCCTCTGACTTTCCATTGTACCACTTGCCAAGTCTTGATTGAATCATTTCTTCTTAAATCAAGGACACGAAGCTCAGAGGGGACCAGCTCACAAGCCATCTCTCCCAGCACAGAGAACACTCCACCCCCCCCCCCAAAACCAAAATGTATTGCCTGCCTTGTTAAGAAGGCTTCCCTGGACGAACCCATCAGCAAAGGCCTAGTGCAGGGCAACTCAGAGGCCAAACTTGCACATGAGAAAAAATGAACAGCAGAGAGCAGAAGGACCATTCAAGCAACTGCCATTCCACACAGAGTTCTGTGATCATCCTAATGATTAGTTTATACCTTCTAAGTACTAGGTGACCTTCAGGTGAAAACAAAAAAATAACACATGATGGGGTGAAAGAGCTAGGTGAAAGGGTAGTGACAGAAAAAGTCAAATGGGAGTGAAGATAAATTTTGTGGATAAAGTCCCAGACTTGAGAAATTCTTAAACCTGAGTTTGAATCAAAGTTCTATCTTTCACTAATGGCATGATTATAGAGCAATCAAATAATCACTCCACGTCTCACTCTTTTCATTTGTAAAATAGGGACAATGCTTTTGTTGTGATACACTGACAGATGTGCAGTCCAATAGGGGACCCTCACTGAATGCCTTTCCACTTAGGAGAACATGTTTACCCTCTGCTGACAGTCTTTGAAAACCTGGAACCTGTCTGTCATCAAGAGGCATCAAAAGGGAGGCAGGTCCAGCAATGATACTCGAAAATCATCTTTCAAACCACCTCTGGGACATATTCCCTAAGCTGTTATCCCCTGGATTTATATATTTTAAAAAATATCACTCTCAAGTCATCCCAGATTAATCAAAGGAGAATGTACTGCTTTCCTGCTACTTGACCTAAACAGCCATGGAGAAGAAATTCCCCTTGGTATCTACTCCAAATATGTATTTGCTTCTTATCCCTAATTACACTTACCCTAGAATAGCTAGTACGCTATTTATAATGTGACTGGTCTTTTATTGTAGTTATACCTTCCTATTTTAGACTGTAACTTCTAAAGAAACAAAGAGATCTAGGTAGTTGGGGGGGAGGGGTTTGTTTTTATTTTTGCATGAAATTTTTTGATGCAGAGCTACACACAAGGTGATAGTTTACACCTAATCAAAAATGACTGCAAAATTATTTTGAAAGAGCCTTGAAAGCATACTGACATATCAGTTTAAGAGGCCAACCACAAATAAAGTTGGTTTTTTGACACATGTTCCGCAAGTTTATTAGATCATGAAGAAAAGGAGGGAAGGGTTCTTGTCTGTTTTCTTTAAGGGTAAGGAATGGCCCCTAAACTATCTGTATAGATAAAAGTTCGTTAATATTTATGTTTCAAATAACTCAAAATTTTATCCTTAACATTTCACCAGAAATTAAAATTGAAAAGCTCCAGTAACAAGTTAATGTAAGCAAAAAACTACTCTTTTCACAACAGGATACATTAACAAAAACTAAAACCACACATTTTTAAACTAAACAAGACTGAGATACAAGTCTGAAATTTAATAGTTGAACAGCATAAAGAATTTAAAGTGAAAATCAATTCTAAAACACAAAGCAAATGTTACACTCCTAAGTTATTTTTTTTCTAACTCACCCTTGACAGATTTTGATGGGGAGAATCACAAAGGTTCTCACGGGAACTTTCTGTCCTATAATTGTGCTTCCTTGGGCTCTTAGGTCGTGTTCGACTTGGCATATCTGTATCTGAGGGTCCAGCTGCATCCATCTTCAAAAAAAAAAAATCAAAAAAATCATATCTAAAGATTATATAGTCCTAGGCCCTTGAAGATATTTTTCTTTAAAAATTAGACATGAAAAAGTATAAATCAGTAGATTCTATAAGCATATTAAAAGTTGCTCATTTGAGAAAGACTGTCTATTGACAGTCCTTTCTGTTTGTCCCTTCCTTCTTATGATTTGCTTTTACATAGATGAGATTGGATATGATTTAGGTTTCACAACCTATACACACTAAAAGAGTTTTGAGAAACCTTTCTATGCCAAAAAAAAAAAGGTCATAAGCTAAAAATTTTAGAAGTAAAAATAAACATTTTATAGGCTATAGGATTGGTTTCCCAAAATTCACATCATCTAATATTTACTTCATGATCCTTCCTTGTTTTCACTTAATGTCCATGACTTTTATAGATTAGACATGTGAGTCAGCTGCTTCTACCAGTGCAGATCAATATCTGCTCTGTGCCTTATACCCTTAAAGAGATGCATGGAGAACTGAGAGTTTAAGTGACTTGCACAGGTCATGCAGTCTGTGGGCATCACAAACAACGTGTACCCAGGTCTTCCTGGCTCTGAGTTAGGTAGGTCTCTTTCCACTACAACACACTGCCTGCCTAGCTGTAATTTTTTGAAATGGTTACTTCTAATGATTTTTAGATTAGTGAATCCATATAAACTAAACTTTTATTTCCTTGCCTTAAGCAACACTAAATTGTGAAAATCAATATAGCTGCAATATTCAAAACTATCCTTAGAAGCTATGGGGCAAAGAATAGTGTAGTGTAGTGGAAATCACACTGGATTTGGAAGACTTGGGTTCAAATCTTGGCTTTGTCACTTATTATCTGTGTGACCTAAATTACTCTCTGTGTCTCAACCTCCCCCACATGTAGAATAAGGAGTTTCTATTATGACAATCTCTAAGGTACCTTGTAACTCTAAATCTATGAATCATACTAGCTACAAATTTTTCCAGGTGACAATTTAAGGTGATACTTGATTCATTACATTCATTTAAAAATATTTAGAATAATCAAGCATTGAGGAATACATCAATAGGAATCAACAAACTCCCAACCTAGGAATGTAACTCCACCTGATATCCTTAACTGTAAAATTAATGACAGCATTCAATGGCAATCTATTTCTTCAAGCAGCATTCCATTGCCACCTGTGGCATTCAGGGGGTCTGGAACCACCCCAAATGCCTGGTAGCTTTCACTTCTTTCTTACTGTATTTTCAGGGACCCTTCCCACACTGGCAAGCTGACCAGCCATCTATTTCTCCTCTCTTCACTATGTGGATGACCTCCTTCCCCAGGCACTGGTGCCACTTGGAACATTTTATCAATGGCAGGGATCAAGACCCAGAAGGCATACTTATCAAATCTACAAATGACAAAACTGATAAGGATCATGAATGGGATGGAGAACAGAATGAGGATTCAAAAAGATGTAGAGAAGGTGGAAAGATGAGCCAAAATCAACTAGATAAAATGTATACAGGGATAAACAGAATATCCTGAAATGTGGCATAAAAGTGATCAACTGAATAAATAAAAGTTGGGAAAGACCTGAAACTGATAGCAATTCAAATGAAAAAAGTGGGGTTAGTGGAATCTCGGGCTATGCCCCATTTTGATATATACCTGTGATATTTCACTGACAAAGGTCATGCAGATATCAACTCACCACCCCTTCTTCTAATCCTACTCCATGTCTTCCTAAAAACCTTGCACTGCACTGGATGCCTTCCTCTTTCCTATATAATTTCAGGGATACCAAAATGAGGCACAGTAGTGCAGTAACAAAAGAGGTAGACTTAGAAACAGGAGAATTGAATTCAAATCCTCCCTCCTACACATGCTACTGGTATATCCATAGACCAAACACACAACTTCCATGAGTCTCAGCTTCCTCCTCCGTAAAATGTACAATTATCCCCCTGTATCACCTGCCTCTGAGAAGTGTTGTGAAGATCAAACAAGATAATGTATGAAAAACACTTTGCAAACCTTAACAGTGATCTCTCAATGTCAGCTATTATGATTACTCTTGAATAATCTCTCCTCTCTGGGACTTTGTGACATAACTCTCTGGCTCATCCTCCAACCTCTCTGAGCACTGTACAGCCTCCCCTAAAGAACCATGAGGTTCCCCTGAAGGCTCTGTCCTGAGGTTCCTCTTGCTATAGTCTTTCACTTGGAAAGTGATCAGACGCCACTTTCTCTATCATCTTTCTGCTGAAGGTGCTCAGATCTATACAGCCAGCCCTAGTATCTCTCCTAAGCTATAGGATCAAATCACCAACTGTTCACTGGACATTTCAAGTTCCATGCATTTCAAATGCATTGTGCAAAAACTGAACTAATTTTCTTCCCCCAAAACATACTCCTCTCCTTAACTTCCTTCTTTTTGGCAAGACATGCCACCATCTTTCTAGTTGTACAACTTTGAAATTCTGATGTCACATTCTGGAGTACTCACTCACAAGTCCCATAACCAATTCACTGCAAGTTTTTTTAACCTCCACAACATGTGTCCCATTAGTACTCTTCTCCAGAACCACACAACTCCACTCTAGTTCAAAGCCTCATCCCTTCTCACCTGGACTCTACAGACATTGAGAAGGCTTCCCTGTTTCAAGGCTTTACCCACACCTGTCCATCCTCCACAGACCTGCCAAAGAGAGTTTCCTTAAAAATAGATTTAACTGTGTCATTCTCTGTCCAATAAAATCTAATGCCTACCTACTGCCTCAAGGATCACATATTAACTCAGCTGGGCAAGAAAAGCCCCTTACAACCTGCTTCCAGTCTACCTTTCCAGCCTTATTATCCATTACTTCCCTTCATATTCTTTACATTATCTCATTTGATACCTACAAAAATCCTCACTTAGAAAACTGAGTCTCAAAGAAGTTAACTAACTTGTCTATGGTTCACAAAGCTAGTGTGCAGGATGAGGACTCAAACCAACATTTTGAGACACCAAATCCAATGCTCTTCATCTGTAATGTATCACTGCATAAGAGTATAAGAACAACAATTAAAAGTTACAGACAAGCAGATTTTATCTTTATATAAAGGATGGCCCTTCTAACAATTGTTATTTAATAACAGAGAAAAGTGTTTTACCATACAAAATAGCAGGCTTCCTGTTGGTCTCAGGAAGCATTCAAAGCAGAGGCTGGATCACCAGCTGTCCAGGATGCTATCAGATGAATCTCTGTGTTAGCAAAGAGGCTGGGCTATACTTATTACTTTTAGGTCCCTTTTAACTCTGATTCTAACATAACCTGGGCTAATATAATCAAGAAATTTTTTGCTTATACAACCCCAAAAAGGAAAATTATCTCCTGAAACATGGTAACCCTTTTTGGATACTTCAAAGCCTAATATTAGCCAAAAGGAGAGATCTTGTTTGTTACAAAAAAAAAAAAACCTGTTAGGCCTCATGTCCAAATAACTACCATATTATACTTCAAAACTGCAAGGACCCATGACCATAATGATACAATGTGCTGCTAGGAAAATGCACGCTCCCTCTCTATATCTGTATCTAAACAGTCTTAGAGCATTCTTGTGCCCAGAAAATGTATCACCTAGAGATAAACTTCTCTAAATTTTGCTAGGCTGGTCCTCTAATGACATAAATGCAGACCCCAAGCCTACATGCAAAGCTGTTCTAGTGCAGAAGGAACTGCTGTAGCTTATGACTGTACTAGTACGGCCTTCAAGCACCCAGGGACCCTGGCCATATGACAAAATGCCCTAGAGCAGGGACTGAGGAACTTGTTTTTGTTTTGTTTTCACATTTTTATAGCTATATTTCAACTTAATTGGTTTACTTTGTAATCCTATTTTATTTTAGTCATTTAAAAACATTATTCTAATGATAAATACTGGAGGGGATATGGAAAAACTGATATGCCAATGCTCTGCTGGTGAGACTGCAATCTGATCCAACCATTCTGGAGAACAATTTGGAACTACGCCCAAAGGACTATAAAACTGCATACCCTATGACTTAGTAAAACCACTACTAGGTCTTCATCCCAAGGAGATCAGAAAAAAAAAAAAAAGGAAAAGGACCCATAGGTACAAAAATACTGACAGCAGCTCTTTTCTGTGGTGGCAAAGAACTGAAAAGTGAGGGGATGCCCATCAATTGGGGAAATGACTGAACAAGGTATGGTATATCGCTGTGATGGAATACTAACTGCACTATAAGAAATGACAAGCAGAATGCTTTAGAAAAACCTGGAAAGACTTATATGAACTGATGCAAAGTAAAGTGAGCAGAAACAGGAGGACAATGCACATAATAACAGCAATACTGTACAATGATCAACTGTGAATGACTTAGCTACAATTCAGGAGGACTTTTATGATAAAAAAGGGCAGCTAGGTGGCGTGATAGAGCCACAAGCCCAGAGTCAGGGAGATTTGAGTTCAAATATGGCCTCAGTCACTCACTAGCTGTGTGACTCTGAGCAAGTCAATTAATCCTCTTTGCCTCAGTCTCCTCATCTGTAAAATGAGATGGAGAAGGAAATGGAGGAGCAGCTAGGTGGCGCAGTGGATAGAGCACCGGCCCTGAAGTCAGGAGGACCTGAGTTCAAATCTGACCTCAGATACATAACACTTACTAGCTATGTGACCCTGGGCAAGTCACTTAACCCCACTGCCTAGCAAAAAAAAAAGAAAGAAAGAAAGAAAAAGAAAAGAGAAGGAAATGGCAAACCACTCTAGTATCTTTGCCAAGAGAATCCTAAATGGGGTCACAAAGAATTGGACATGATTGAAACAACTGAACAATAACAATAAAATATGATGAAAAATGATATTCCACCTCAAAGAAGGAACTGATGGAATATAAGTGCAGATTGAAACTGGTTTTTCACTTTACTTTTGGAAGGGTTTTTTGGTCTGTGTTTTCTTTTGCAACATGGCTAATATGGAAATACGTTCTGCATGATTAACATGTGTATAATCTATATTAAACTGCTTGTCTTCTCAAGGAGGAGAGAGGGAAAGAGAATCTGGAATTCAAAGTTTAAAAAAAAGTTTTAAAAACATTTACATGTAATTGAGGGAAAAAAATGAAAGGAAAAAAACATTCTGAAAAATGGTCATTTAGCTTCATCAGTCTGCCAAAAGGGTCCATGACACAAAAAAAATTAAGAATTCCTGAAGAGTTATGGCATTTAATAGAGGAATTATCATTTAAGATTTTAGAGGGTTTTTTAAAAAATATTTTCTCCTAGATGTGGAAAAATTGGAACACCATTACACTGTTGGTGGAGTTGTGAATTGATCCAACCATTTTGGAGAACAATTTGGAACTATGCCTAAAGGACTACAAAAATGTGCATACCCTTTGATCCAGCAATAGCACTTCTAGGCCTATATCCCAAAGAGATCATACAAATGGGAAAAGGACCCACATGTACAAAAATATTCATAGCAGTTCTTTTTGTGGTGGCAAAGAACTGGAAATTGAGAGGATGCCCATCCATTGGGGAATGGCTGAGCAAGTTGTGGTATATGAATGTAATGGAATACTATCATGCTGTAAGAAACGATGAACAGGCTGACTTCAGAAAAACCTGGAAAGACTTATATGGTCTGATGCTCAGTGAAGTGAGCAGAATCAAAAGGACTTTGTACACAATAACAGCCACATTATGCAATGACTAAGATTGTTAAACTGAACCCTTCTCAGCATTACGAGAATCTAAGACATGTCCAGAGGCCTCGGGATGGAAAATGCTGTCCACATCCAAAGAAAGAACTATGGAAGTCGAGTCACTATCACTTATTTTTACCTTCTGTTGAGTTTTGTTTCACCTTTCTGATGGTTCCTCCTATTGGTTTTAATTTTTACTTACAACTTCACTAATGTGAAAATATGTTTAATGGGTATGTAAATGTAAAGCCTATATCAAATTGTGCACTGTCTTGGGGGGGGACGAAGGGGGAGAAAAATTTTCAACTCAAAAGCATATGGCAGTGATTGTTGATAAATCAAAACAAATTAATAAAATTTTAAAAAATAATAAATTTTAGAAAATATATATTTTCTCCTAAGTAGGATTAAAATAAAAAAGATTACAAAAATCATATGAAGCAGAATTACAAAGAAAACAACATTGCAATCAAAATTTTAATTTAATATCCACAAAGGTTGTAACAGTGAGGAAAGGAATATTCTTCCCCAGTTAGTCCATTCTTATCTTTTATACTTACATGTGCATCTGAAGAGCCAGATGAATGCACTGTGTCTGATGATCTTGCCTGTAAACATAAGAAAATAAAGTCAATTTGAAAACAGAGAAAAAAGGTTTTGTACTCTAAACAAGACATGTCATTTCTCTTATCTTGCTGACATGTCTTCAACTAGCAGAACTGAATATAGGCAGAGCCCCCAACATACAAATAAGCTGCATTTTCAATAAGTCACTTGTAGGAAGATTAAAACCTCTACCTGCCCAGTAATTTAAAAATTCAAACATGAATTATATCCTAAATACCTACAGGATACTATGCTAGATACTGAGGATACCAAAAAGAAAAATTAAGTCCCTGACAATTTAGCTTCTAGCTGACACATGCATACAAATAATATACAAATATAATTAGAATGACTAAAGTGTACAAAAGGGAAAACAGACATGAGAGATTAGAGCGAAGAATCTCCTTTATTTAGGTAGAACAAGAAAGCTGTACCTGAATTGTGCTTTGAAGGAAGAAAAGCATTTCAAAATGATGAGGGATGAACTGGACAAATGTATGAAATTTTAAAAGGCAGGATAAGGTGAGGGAAGAGTTTAGATAAGGTAAGTAGTATAAAACAAGACTTGGAAAAGTTAGCATGGCATCAGATCATGGAGGACCCTGAAGGCTAAACTCAAGCATCTGTATGTTATTCCAGTTAATACAGAGCCATTGAAGGTTGTAAAGCAAGGAGATAGAAGGCATAATACGATGAGACTTATGAATTAATATTACCATGACATTAGTGTGTGAATAGATTGTAGAGAGAAAATGTTACTTTTTAATTACTGCAAAAGACCACAATCTGCTATCAGTACTAAACTGCTACAACAAAAACAAAAGCAATTTAATAAACAAAGAAAGAAAAAATCTCAGTACAGAATGATATAAGGGCTCTTCCTCTCTGATAATGGTAAGAGCAAAAACTAAAGAATACTGAACGAACGTTGTAATCAGGATTCGATTTTTTTTCAGTTATCAGACTTGGCAAATCTAAATTTTTTTTTTGCTGATCATTGTGGCGATCTCAGCATAGAAACTCAAGACTGTGAGCACCCACACAACAGATCCTTCCCCAAGTTTCTGCACCCACAAAGTGAGAGTACAATGTTTGCTCTCTCACAACAAGGCTTTTAACTTTTACTTTTGATCCTGAGCCCCCCAGCACAGCTCCGGGCACAGGGAAGGTACTTCAAGTTTTTCATCTGAACTGAGAGCTCATCTAATCTGACCCTCAAAGGCCTTTCTTGTTCTAAAAGTCTATGAACTATTGGCTAATAACTTTAATTAGAACTTTAAATTCCATCCAAAGAATTTATTGCATGTTCTCAAGTTACTGGTATTGACTGTGATTTTAAAAATCCAATGCTCTTATTTGGAAGATATTCAACATTTTACACTTGAACTAAGCAAGAAGAAATGGGCTTAAAAATGAAGGCTTTATATTACAGACGAGGAAATTATGGCACAAAGAAATTAAGTGACTTGCCCAATGTCAAATGGCAAACAGTAAGTCTTTACTTGAATCCAATTCTTTTGACTCCAAAATGTAGTCTGCCTACATACTAGCTCAATGATAAAGAAGAGTTGAATCAATGTAACTGGTAACAAAATGGTATTTAACACTCTTGAAACAAAAGAAAGTAACTTTACAAATAGACTTTAATTTCATCATTGTAGAGTCCTCCAATAAAAGGGAAAACAGATTCAGGGTTGGAGGGTAGGAGCCATCAGAGGCCATCTGATGTAACATACATATCCAAATAAATCTCATACAAGAGGGTCATAAGCCTTCCCTTGAAAAGTCATTTCCTTCCTCTCCCAAAATTTCTCCAATCAAGCAATTTGCAAACTACAGTCAATTCTACCTCACCAATATTTTTCACATTCATGCTCTTTATTTTTCACTGTCCTCACCTTAATTCAGGCCACTATAATTACAACTATTTTAACAGCCTTCTACATTGGTCTTCCTGCCTGCCTCTAATGTCTCCCCATGGTGATCTGCAATTCACACTACTGCCTACTTAACTTTCCTAACACTCGGGTCTTAACCCACTAAAAATTTTAAATTTTTTTTAAATTTTAAAGTAAAAATTTTTTTTAATTTTTTTTTAATTTTGGAGGTCCATAGTTATATCTTTTCTCCCCTCCCCAATACTAATGGTCCCACTTTATCATAACCTTTTTTTCAGAGTTACTTTAAACTTTTTCAGTAGTTACCAACTGTCTTTCATATAAAGAAAGTATAAACTCCTTAGTTTAAAATTTAAAGTTCTCTATAATCTGGCTCGAATCAATCTTCCTTTCCAGTTTTATCACATCTCCCATTATGTACTCTGAATCAAGAGTTCTTAACTTGAGGCTCATGTACCCTTAGGCCCCATATACTTAGATGGGAAAACAATTATGTCTTTATTTACACTAACGTCTAACTGAAATTTAACATTTCCTTCAATGATGAAGTCAGGCAACAAAGAGGCTTCACCAGACTTGTCAAAGGGGTCCAGAACAAAAAAGAACCCTTGCTCTAAGTTTCACAAAATTTGGGATACTATCTCCCATTCTTATCCTCTCTTCTGTTTCAATGCCACTTTTGCTCCTATGAAACTCCATGTGCCTGGAATGAATTATCCTTTGGTAAAATTATTCCCGATTCTCATCAAATCTTCAGAACTTTTCTGGGTCTTTCCTTTGTATGTATTCTATATACTTAAAAAGATGCATGATTTCATCCACATGGGTATTCCCTTGACCAGTACAGACTAGAACCCCTTTGTGACACAATGTTTCAAAATTGTTAGACCTAAAACAAATTCAAGGTATGCAGCCAACCTGGTGATGAAACTTAGCTAGACTGATTAGAGCTAGGAGGTATAGTTGATAGAGTACTGGGCCCGGAATGGAAAAATCTGAGTTAAAATTCCACCTTAGGCATTTGCAAGCTGTGTGAATTTGGGCAAGTGGCACCCACTTCACAGGGCTTTTGTGAGGATCAAATGAGATAATATTTATAAAGACTTAGTAGATAAATGCTTCCTTCCTTTCCTCCTTTCCTGGTATTTAATAAATGTTTGAGGAAGTTAACTAAGAATGTTTACCAAAAAGAATATTGAAAGGTTCGCTTCTTTTCATAGTTTACCTTCAATCAACTTTGTTCTTCCTAAATGTGTGTGTGTGTGTGTCTGTCTGTCTGTCTGTTCCTGGTGTTTTCTACAACTTCCCTCTCTGCTTAACAACCAAGCTTAAAAGGAAAGCTGGCATACAGGTTAGAAAATGTGTAGCTAAAATTAGTCTATGAACTGTCACCTTAAAATAATCAAGCACTAAAACATTCTCAGATGTAACTGACCTTACTAATTATAGCCTAAAATAAAATACCAATAAAGAGAAATGCATAAGAATTTTCAGTAATAACCTAGAGGAAAAGGCATATTTCTCCAGTACAGATAAGAAGTATCACTTGTCTCCCACCTCCAATATTCAAACTGTGGCCAAAGCCTGTCGATTTCACCTTTGCAACACTACTTGAATATGCCCCTTTCTCTTCTCTGACAATGCTACCACTTGAGGGTCGGCCCTCATCACCACACTAACTGAATAAACTCTAATGGCTTCCTATTGCCTCCAGGATCAAATACAAAGTATTCCATTTCGCATTCAAAATCCTTTATGTCTGCCCCTTCTGCCTCTCATGTGTTCTTATACCTCAGTCCTTAACACAGCCTTCCATTCAGCGATACTAGCTGTTCGCGAACAAAACACTTCATCTCTCAACTCCCAATATTTTCTCTGGCTATCCCCCATTCCTGAACACTCCTCCACTCCAAATTACTGACCTCCCTGGCTTCCTTTAAGTCTGAACTAAAAATCACACCTTCTACAGAAAGGCTTCAACTCCTCTTAATTCTAGCGTCTACCCTCTGTTAATTATTTCCCATTCATCCTGTATGTAGCTTGCTTCGTATGTATGTTTGTATGTTATCTCCTCCATTAGATTCTAAGCTCCTTAAGGTCAAGGACTATTTTTTGCCTTTTTTTTTAATCCCCAGTGCTTTAATACAGTGCCTAGCACATAGCAGGCATTTAATAAGTATTTATTACTTGACTAGCACTTGCTCTGATATTTCTCGAAAAAATTCTGAAACAAAGGATTATAATAAAGTGGGACCATGGGGGGGTGGGGGTTTGAATAAGTTAATATAACTATGGAACTCCAAAAATTTTTTTTAAGTAAGAGTTTTTTCTATTCCCACACTGCATTTTCCAGCTGTTTTCCTCAGGAGACATTCTCTAGTTAACCTGAAAAATAAATAAATGCATTCACCCCATCACCAAGATTAGTTCTTTCACATTTTGTTACTACCTTCTTAAAAACTTCCATTTAAAAAACATAAATAATGGAAATTTATGCCTTTATTTTTATTCTTGGTTTTGTGTTTCAATATTTGTATGTGGCTAAGTTTATAATTTTAAAAACTCAAGAAATTCTAAGTTCAGCTTTACAGTTCCACAAATTTCAGGGGCAGCTAGGTGGTGCAACGGATAGAGCACTGGCCCTGAAGTCAGGAGGACCCGAGTTCAAATGCGGCCTCAGATCAAACACTTGACACTAGCTGTGTGACGCTGGGCAAGTCACTTAACCCCAATTGCCTAAAAAAAAAAATACATACACACACACACACACACACACACACACACACACACACACACAATTTCCCAGATTTCAACAGCACTCAAAAAAAAATACTATACTCAAAATGTGTCATGTGAATAACTCAAAAAAATTAGCAAAAATTGGCATGAACTCAGAATCATAACATTTTAAAAGTGAAAGGAAACTTAGGTCATAGATTTACTGCTAGGAAGGACATATGAGGTCATTTAATCAAATCTCTCACTTTATCTTAGGCTTAGTTTGCTTCTTTTTAATTTTCAAAATGTTTCACTGATGATCTACTATTATTTTCATTTCACAACAATAACTCCTACCTCATATCATATTAACAAACCTTCCTTGT